GAAGAAAACTTACCATGCGGTAGCAAAGCAGGAAGTACTGCAGCAGAGGCCCTTCACGCCGAAAAAAACTAGTACAAAACTTTTTTTAATCAGAAACACAGTCAAAACATTCAGCTAAAAAAATTACCCGAAAAAAAAACTTAAAAAAAAAATGAATAAACTACAGCTACAAAAACCTCATGTTCATAAACATCCATTAAAAAGTCATTTAATGAGCGCTAACAAAGGCGACAGAAAATCACTACCAAAAGAAAAGGCAAATTTCTAATAGGTGAGTTATTTAAAATGCTAACATAAACAAAAATATGTCTGTTGGATAATTTTGTTCCTAATAGAGGTTTCCAGGAATCGAGTCCAGTGAGTCCTGTGCACAAAAGTATAAAAAACCGGATAATAGATTATGTTCCATTCCGTATGGAAATTCAACACAGAGACGAAGCAGAGCTTCGCATCACTTGCGATACCATAAAGTAGCATTGCAAGCTATCAGACAGGAAAGGAAGCAACTAAATAAAAAACCACAAATAAAAAAATAATAAAATTGTCTAGAATGATGTTCTATTGGCAAAAAACACGTCCCGAAACACATTTGATGGCGTTTGATGAAAATTTAAAAACATTCGAGGGAAAAAATTGTTGCCATGAAAAAAATTGAACTAATAAACTTTACTCTGAGATTTTGAACGTTTTGTGCAATCCGGAGGGAAGCATACAAAATATGGCTCCCTCGAACGACACCAAATTAGGTCAGTAAGCCGATAAAATATAAAACGAAAAGAATAAGGCCAAAAAAATTAAGCGAAAAAAAATTTACAAGGGGGGTATAAAAATTGAAAATATACGAAGTCAAAGTTAGTAGAATTACATCTTGGAGGAGTAAATGAAAACATGAAAAGCAACTACACTAAAAATGCATACATCACAAAAAATTATAAGACGTGGTAACAAAGCCGACAAAACGTAAGCAGACAAATAAGCCGACAATCTTTTTGAAACGGAATAATTCTCGTTTGAAAAAAAGTCCAGGTCAGATTCGAACCCAACACCTTTGCCGCCCTAAGCGTATTTACCTCCAGACTAAGTGTGTCAGAGACCTCCAGCCTAAGTCTGCCATAGACTCTTGGTAATTTGAATTCACTATGAACCGAAAGATTCTGTTAAGCATGTTGTTAACCCGAAAAAAAAACTATTTTCCGATTTGATAACGCTTAATAATCGCAAGCGGAAAAACTCGGAACCAAAAGTTGCTTTTCCGGCCAAATGCCTTTTTTGTTAATGGAGAACGTATTACGTCATTCATTAAGCAAACGAGGTTAAAACTAAATCACAAAATTTTGCATTGTCCAAAACAAATAACACGAACGAAAAAAGTGTCTTCAATTCGTTCATTGACATAAGAATATAGCCAACTGACTTGGAAAAGAGTAATTAATGAATGCAAGGAAACAGAATAAAAACTTGTTTTTTAAAAGAGACTTCAACTTTTGTAGAAAAAGTATATGCCCTTAAAGCTCTTTCACCTTCAAGAAAAATTCTGATTGTTACTTTTTGGATGTGATTTTAGAAAATTAGACCCATGAGTAAATTTTCAAGTCCGCTGGTACATCTTAACATTAAAATCCACTTTCGTTACTAAAAGTCGATCACTAGAAATTTTTTGTTACCGTTACAACTTTGCTCTTCGATAGTGGCTTTTGTCTTTCTTTTAGCAATGGAAATGAGCTGAAATTGAAGTGAAATGAAAAGTTAAACCGCGAAAAATCAAAATTGAAAAATTGAGCTTGATAAAATTTCAAAACTTTTTTCCTGAAAAAAATACCAAGACCTAGATAAAATCATTCACTACGTTCACTGCCCCTCAAAAATTTCAAGCCAGATTCTCGTCATAAAATGCTTCAATATTATACACAGAGGCGAAGCAGAGCCATGACACGCTCCCAAAAAATGACAAACAATCTGGAAAAAATGACAAACAATCAGTAGCTCAAAGCGAGATTGCAACCAACAACTGACCAGCGCTCGCATGCTTTAGTACTTTCGTTGTTGTTTGAGTGGCACCAAATACAAATAGACTCAAATTTGCAAGCAAAAATTTGGGATATAACAAACTGAAGGCATTCGACTAACTTTGCGTGTCACAAACTGCAAAGCATAAAGCCACATTATGTATAAATTATGCATTCCAAAAAATTGCGATATATTGAGTTAGTGAACCAAATTTTCGTATCTCTATATGAAGGACACCTAGGGCTCAGCTAAGGCTGGAGGTAATTATTTGACTTTATAATTTTGATGGGGAACGAAATGCGTAATTTCAAAAATTGAAGTGCCCACGATCTTTGTTGTTTCTCTATACAAGTTTCTATAAAATAGTCAAAATTCAAAAATCAGTAACTTTTTTTCTGCAAAACGCAGGTCGTGACTGGTAAAGTAGGGAAGATTCCCAAAACCGGATTTCTCGATTGAACACTTAATCTGAGACTTGTCAAGTAATTTTCGAGCCTTAAAAAGAACTTCAAAAAACGGTCCAATTTTCGAAATTTTCACTTGTTTGGCAGAAAGTGTATCAAAAAAAATTAAGCTTTCAACAACCTGTTGCATCCATTTAATTTATGATATTAGTTTTGGGAGGATAGTTATCGAGAAAAAGCCCAAAAAACAGTCAACAAACCAGAGAGCTGAAATTTCCGAGAACTAACTTTTTGTTTTAAAAAAAATTGGGCGCAGCCGCTTATGTAGAAGAGATTCACCCAATCTGCTATTTGGATTGAACCTAAAAATCTAGGTTTAGCCGGGTAGTTTTCGAGAAAAATTTTAAAAAACTTGTCACAAAATTGAAATTTTGACTGTTCCGAGGGTCACAATTTGTTTTTTTTTAAATTAAAAATTCGGGCGTAGTCGCATAAGTAAAGGAGCAACTAAAACATGCTCTTTAGATTGAACCCCAGATCTCATAAATTGAAGATAAGTTTTTAGTCGAATTTACGAAGCGTAAACAAGGCAGACAATCTTTGAGCAGACACCAGTTGAGCCGAAAAAAATACTATGTAAAATTTTTTCCCCTGAAACTACCCAGTAGAAACTAGTAATCAGCCAGTAGTAAAACTTGAACTTACCAGAAATTGAGCACGTTTGGTTACTGCAGAAACCATTCAACTGATTTTGTTAAACTAGTTGTTAACTAGAAAAAAAGTCGAAATTCCAATTTGATAAGGCTTGCTTATCGCAAGCGTGATTATTGTTAAGTTGTTTGAAACAAATCACTTTTGTCGGTTCATTTGATGAAATAAAAAGGCATCAAATGTGCTATTCGAATAACAAAGCACATGCTTTGAAAAAGCTGCACCAAAAGTGGCACCAATACTTGCGACTTACTTTGGAAAAAAAGAAGGTTCAAATTAATACAATCGCTTCGCAAGAGTAAAAATACAATCACGCAATCAAAATATTGAATGTTTTGACCAGTATCAATAAATTAACTAACAAGCCGAAAATTGATTTTTAAAAAACATTTTTGAGAGGGTGAATCAGTCTTGCAAAATCTTTCGTTTCATTCGTTATAAAAACAGCAAAAACTAATCGAATAAAACTATTTAGAAAATAAGCCGACGGAATTGAAGCCGACAGATCTCGGTATTCCTCGGAACTTGATATACTATTAACCAATGGTTCAGTGATTTTAAAAAAGTTAAAAAAATCTTCAGGCTCGGTTAATCTTTTTTCTTCAAACGAAACGGCAAAATGAAAAAAAAAACTGGGCTAGAAACTAAAAAGAAAACTTCAAAAATCAACTATCGAAAAACTCAAAAAAACTGCGAAAAATGTGCAAAAACTAATGAGCTACTTTATCTGTACCTAAAGGAATGCTATATGTTCAGCCGAACGTACAACCAAAACCGCAAGTGTTTGAGCCAATTTTGTTACTTGAACTGAGAAAAAACGAAAACAATTCCAAAAAAAATCAAAAAAAAAAATGAAAACATTCAAAAAACCGAAAATTTTTTTCAACCTCTTTGACTTTTAAAAGGAAAAAAATTTCGGTTTTAAGAAAGTTTTCATTTTTTTCTGATTTTTTTGGAATTGTTTTCGTTTTTTCTCAGTTCAAGAGGTTGATTAAAATTTTCAAAATTTGATTGAAAGAATTCAATTTCTCCCATATAATACCGAAGAAAGTTATTCGAAAAAAACAGTAGGAAAATAAGACGACAGAATTGAAGCCGACCGATCTCAGTCCCGAAAATGTACCAAAAACATTGAAAGCCTACGAAACTCATATGCAATTCTTAACGTAACACAACTAAACACCACGTCGTAACTGCATGGAGCTAATGCGGTTACCACGTTCAACCGTGCAATTTTTACTATTTGACTTTTATGTGCCTAAAGTTATTTAGGGCAAAAAAAGTCTAGTATCCGATTGCAATACCCTTGCTTATCGGGACAGTACAACAGTGCCGAAAAATTTTTTAGTTCAAGAGTGCCGAAAATGAAAACTTTGTTCAACAGTGCCGAAAATATGAACAAATTTCAACATATTAAGTGCGGCATTTAAATTTCGCATTGTAATAGTCACTTCAATATTCATGACCCCCAGTTTTTGTTGCTCTTCCGTAAATTTTTTCTCTATGGGAATTGTACCAGATGACTTTTTGTTTTATGTGCAAACAACTCGAGCTTTGTTTCTGAATGCAAGTTATGCCAAAAAACAATGTTGATACGCATACCAACAAAATAGAAGTTGACAGATTATAGACTTTGCAGTTGCACTTCATTTGAAGGACGTTCAATCAAGCTGGTCTCGTATTTAGTCACATTTGTATAGACTGCTCCTATAGCTAAAAACTCAGGCATTCATAGTAGTCGAAAGAAACGGATAGTTTAAGTGCTTTAAAATGGTGTGCAATTCCCAAAATGGAAGAAAATTTTAGCTGTAAACAATAAATTAAACTTTTTCATTCTCTTAGGCTATGCTAACAAATCATCTGACGTTTCAAAATAGATTTACGAACCATATCAAAATTTTTCTTACAAATATGCAATATCTCACTTATCTTAAATTATCATGCTTATGTTTCTATGAAATCCGAAAGATAGAAATCTTCTTCCGCTCACAAAGTGCGTCGTCTAGAGCATGTTGTCTGCAGTATCTGGAACCGGTCGAAGCAACACCACGTTTTCCGCCCCTTTGATGTTCAACGTATGCTTGGAGTAATACGCGATCATCGCTGGGATGCTGTTGTAGGGCTTGCTGAACTGGCCCAAAATATATTTTCTGCTTGTCTCTTGGTACTGAATCTTCATGTGCATGATATTTGAGGCACTTTTGATGGACAATGAGTAGTCGTGTCGAGTGCTTTCCGAGCGGCGTACGAGGTACGAACACTCTGGTGCCGGTCTAAGTCTAGCTTCGGCTGCGACTCGCGATATTTGTCCATGGTACCACACTTGCTCTTCCAAGCTCAAATTTGCATCTACCAGCTCAGTTGCACCTTGCGGACTCGAAACCTGTTTCTTAACTTTTTGCGACGATCTATGGTGACTTTTGTGCATAGCATGTGATGCCGAGAGCTGGCTTCCGAATCCCCTCTCCTCATTGACCGAGTTTGTAGACACCGTATTAACACTATTCACGCTGCTCTGTTGCTTCTGATGATTCGCATTGAAAGATAGCTCCACCGAAGTGCTAGCATCACCGAAACCTTTCGAAGGCTGCTTGGATGTCAAGTTCCAAGGTTGGTCGTAATCATCCTCTGGCCTCAAGTCATTTGTGGGGTCTTGAAACTGCGCTTTGCCCATGTCGCCTTGAGATGAAACTAAACCTGACTCATTCCCTCGCAGAGCTTGACTATTCCTCTTACCTGAAGTCAGTTCCCAAGGCTGGTCATAATCGTCTTCAGGTCTGAAATCCATGGTCTTAGTCTGGTGAATGTCTTGCTGATGCTGATTAGCTGGCTGTTTATTTTGATATCCTGCAGTAGTAGACGGCGTAATTTTAGCGAACAGGTTCTTATTCCCTAAATCACCACTTTTATGTCGTCTCCTAGCTGGAGGTTGTGGATTGAACTCATCGGTTGAGTTAGAAGATTTCAATACCGGGCGTCTCCCCGTGTCCTGTTCGCTAGTCATTGGCGGTTGATTGGAGGCTGCGTTAGCAGCAGCTTGCGCCGCTGCATGAGCTGAGGTCCACGGAACATCATACTCCGCGTCTGGGCGGCTATCATTGACTGGAATTTGGGTCGACCCCGGGTCATCGGTTATAAAAACATTGTCGTTAGCATAACGCTTGTCATTTCCTGATACTGCATTTCCGGTCAATACTTTTGCATTCTCGTACATACAATTATCATTGCTCTGTTGGCCTAAGAATTGGGCGTTGTAGTTCTGGTAACAATCTGGAGGCTGACTTCTCCCAGGAACCGCAGAACCATTCGCCGGATTGTTGTTATTATTGTTGTAATTTCCCCACGTGGTTTCGTAGTACGAGTCTTCTACGTGCGAGGGACTGACCTCAATGTCTTCGATCTGCCGATGTTCTGGACTCTCAGTTGGTATATTCTCGTAGACCTCCCCGTTAAAGCCACTTTCAAGTCTTTCTGAGAGCGAGTCTTTTCTCTTATCGTGCAAAACAGTAGTCGTGCTCTGTTGCTGCTGTTGCTCTTGTGACTCTGAGAAAGGTACCATGTAGTTTTGATCCTCTTCGTTTCCGTATGGTTCAACTTGAAAAGTATTCTTGAAAGTATCAATCAAGTCTTTAGGATCGCTGTATTGATCTAGCAGTGGTAATTCGTTTGTCACAGGGGCAGTGGCGTTATTTTGCACTCGAGTGCAGTTTGATGACTCAAGAGCACTAACATGAGAGGATAGATGTTCTGGAGACAAATAGAACGGCCTGTTAGTGGGAATTTGTCCATCGTTTGAGCTGTTTGCATTGCCCTTGTTCTTGAAAGGCTTCAGAAAATTAGGCATTTTGTATACCGATCTGAAAAACATGTCGAATACCAGACAGGATCTGTGCTACTAAACTAAATGTAAACTAAATCAATTGTTTTCGACCCAAAAACTCTGACAAACCTATCTTCTGTCGACACTGAATTCCAAGACATGTTTGAATTGAATTAGTATATCGGCCAAATAAATAAATACGATTAGTCTTGTTATTTTACTCAAGAAAGACTCAAGAAACACTCAATGATTATTGGTTAAATAATGGATCGCATGAAACTCAGCAATACAACGTTAAGCAGACGGACAGAAATTGTCTGCAGAAAGAAAACAAAAGTAACTCTTTTAATCAATTTAATGACTAAATATCCGCACCACTAGCTTCGGCATGTGGCAACATACTGATCTTGTCAATTAGAATCTGATGCATGTCTTTAACTTCATCATACAGTTTGGCATAACGACTGGCTAACAATGCGTAGTTCTGTTCCACGCCTTTTAGCCTTTCATCCGCCTCCCCTTCCAGGTCTAGCTTCTCATTGTCCAGTTCTGGGTTGTACAAATCGTCATTGGCCAGCAGGGATTTTCCCTTTTCATAAATGGCAGCTTTAGCTTGCGGGTAGTCGTGCAGAGCTTCCATGATGTCATCTTTGGAGAGCGAGAATAATTCTGTGAAAGCCACACTTTGAACATTAGCTGTGCGTTTGTTGCCATTTCTATTTCCAGGAATGTCCAATACACTGATTTCTCCAAAGTAATGCCCGTTAGCCAGCGTTCCTAAAAGATATATCAAAAACGTCATCCAAGGTTTTGTATTCAATTTCGCCAAGCCCACAACCTGCTTCAAGTTCATTTATCATAAAAAATCTTCCATTCGATTATGTATAAGTACTAGTGGTGCAACCGAATGTTCGAACGTTCGTTCGAGGAAAACTTCCGAGGAAAACTTCGAAGGCTCTCGCGAATATTCGGTATTATTTGACCAGCTTGTTATTGAGTTGTTTCTCGAATACCTCGTATGAGCGTGTTTTATGCACTGCCGGAAACGTGGTTACCAAGAAATCAATACTTACTGAAGATCAAGTGAGCACACAAAATATTCTGCATGAAAATTGGAAAATCTTCAATTTTTTCTCATGAATACTGAACAACCCAATAAATACTGAATGCTCAAAATTTCGACTTGTGTTTTTGGCGAACATTCGAAGACTATTTTGGAACGAATGTTGCACCACTTCGAGTCCTGGAAATCCGTAGGATTGATAATTTTATGATAATTTCAATCAATTTTTCCACAATTTATCTGAAGAACTTTGGACATTACCATTTAAAACAGACACATGACAGTTTCACTTGAATTGTGCCTAACCTAAAACAGTGACAAAATCGTCCGCCACGACATTGAGTGTGCCCTGTTTGACAATGTACATCTTTCTTCCTATGTCTCCCTTCTTGCAAATGAAGTCTCCCGGACTGTAGACTTCTGGCTTCAGCCGCAGTAATATTTCGATCATCAGACCCACCTCGAATTCAGAGAACAGCGAAACCTTCTTCAAGGTAGCTGAAAAGGAAGTTTATTTTTTGGACAGTAACAAAAAAGTCACATCAACATCCAAATATTACAGAACAAATAAATTTCCAAATCATAGTTTTTAATCTACTAGCCTTTCTAGGGGAGAAAAATATACACCATGAGTAAACAAAAACTTTCTCCTTTTCCCAGAACTCAAGACCTACCTAAATGAATATGCACCGCTATTTCCGCTCTCAAACGAGGCGCTAAACAAATCAGCACATTATCTTCATCCAGAGACCTATCATTTCGCTTCAAATAGTCGAACCATTTGATCACTTTGCCCTGCAGTTCAGATGACACTCCTTGGCATGTCATGAATACCTTCACCATGTCCGTCTTGCGCTGGAATGCAATTGACTTCGCATTCAAATCTGCTATCATGCTCCCAACGTTACCCACGATTGTGGCGAATATGACCACTCCTATCAGAAAGTCCTGAAACAAAGTTCAGAAGTCTCGTTGCCTGGCGAGACTACATTAAAATACACCGAACAATGTCAACGTTGGTCAAAATTTTCCAAAAAGTGCCTAAAAACGCCTTTTTCGGCCTGTTTTTTTTCAAAATTTTGCCTGCGGCGCAGAAATTTTGGCCAAAACAGGGTCTCTGTAGTGCTTTGGGAGAGCTCGGAAAATCAATTTAGTCGACCTTAAAAAAAAAGTCGACAAAATTTTCGAAACTTTTTTGAAAATCCGCCCCCCTCAGGAAAATCCTAGATCCGCACCTGGTTCATTAGTGACTAAGTTTTGGTGCAAGATTAATGAATCTATGAACTCCCAAAGAACTTACCACAATCATGAAGAAGTACTCCAGATCCGTATAGGGCAAAGGAGTCTCTCCTATAGTTGTCAAGGTCAGTGCAGACCAGAACATGCAGTACACGTACTTATAATACAGAGAACACCTGTTCGCATACTCATACGTCTCCCATATAATATCCGGATGCTCCTTGAACCTGAACTGATACGTAATTCCACTCGGTTTACACTCCAATGTGATGCCCACTTTGTCATACACCTCATGAACATCTGTCATGTTCAGCAGGTAATACGGAGGGTACACACAAGTTACGTTTTGTTCAGGCACGTCCAATGAACAAGGTGTGAAACGAAATCCAGACGCTTCCGCCCTTGGTAAACTTTCATTGTAGTCTCTGATAAAAGTGTTCCCTGAATTGATCATGTCTCTCAGAACTGAGTATGTGTCGAATCCTCCGTAGACCCACCGGGTGCTTCCGAGCACACACATGTCGGAGATTCCGTAGTAGTAGCATGCATTCCAGTGGATGATGACTGTGATGTAGAAAAGGAGATTCAACATTCGGAATGCATTAGGAGCATTCACTCGCTTCTCCGTAGCTTCGAAGAACTCAATCAATTTGTAGCATCTAAGGAGCCGGTTGTTACGCCAAATGGGCATATCGTATCCCTAGACCAAAATAATTTCCAATGGTTCAGTTTTATTGTATTTCAAATTTCGACCTTTTGTCTGCAATGCAAGTTCAAAACTCACTGCGTTATCTTAAAATGTTAAATGTACAGTCAGAACTTTCAAAACCAAAAACGAATTTTTGACTTCAAATTTCTAAATGTAGAGTCAAATCGTAGCGTTCAATACTTCCGATACAATCCAAACATGGCATAGCAAAATAGCGAATAGAAACTGTGACATAAAAAAAAAACTACAAAAACTTTCTCTCTATTATTATTTTCTCTCGTATTTTTTCTATACTAATATTTTCTCTCCAATAATGTTAAATTTGAGGAAAACATGTCGAGAAGCACAATAACCAGCGTTAATAAGCATTCAGAATCTTATCGCTAATAAGCAATCGGAATCTTACCATTTAACCCGACAGCACTTAAAGCCGAACCCCATTGACCCGAAAATAAGAAAGATGACAAAAAATTGTACAATTAAGATTTGTAACTTCAAGTTTTTACCTCCCCACCCCTCCTGAAACACACAAAAGCAAAACATCTACATTTGTAATTCTAAAGACGCAGTATAAAAAGCCGCTGTAAGCCGAAACCATTTAAACATAAAAAAAATTAAAAAAAGAAATTATACAAAATCATACTTGGCGAATATATAAATTGCAAAACGACTGTTAATTATTAAGAACTACTTGAATCAGAAATATCCATGCTTTGGAAATCAAGCCTAAAATTAAAGAAGAAATTTAAAAAAAAACCGACGATTCAATTTTTCCTTGAAACTTTAAAGTTCCATACATATCGAGGAAAAAATAAGTTCCCCAGATTCCGACCCAGACCTTAAGATACCAAGGCACGCGGTCTACCACTAGACAAAATGGGAAGGCGCCCGTAAGCTGTTGAGGTTTCAAAATTAAGCAAACTCAATTTCTTGGTGTCCCACTCTTTAACCCCACATAACCCCCAAATTTTACATCCTCTACTTTATAACCCCCCATTTTAATACCGATAATTTGTTTCAAATTAAGTCCTATTTATAAGTACCGGAGCATTCCAATTAAGTGTACTAATTGAGGACTGAAAAGCCAGTCTCAATCTCAAAAATAATTGCATTTCGATTAGTTAGAAATAATACCTCACTCACGCATTTCAAACAGAAATAACCTGCATGGTGCTAATTGAAATCAACAAGAAATTTGAAACTATAGATAAAAACATACAGCCTTACACTTATTTTACCATTTTATGAGCTATAAAGTTTGATGCGTCTTTCCATTTTACTTTATCGACCAAGGACAAACAAATATTAGTGATATCAGGCCACGAGTATTATCTTAAGCGTAAGAACAATACCAGTACCAACTGAAACTGCTCAAAACACTAGACTCATAAATGCCCAGCAACAGCAGCTAGGGCTGGCGATAATTTTATTCAATCGAGGGGTGAGCATAATCACGACATATCTACGGGAAAACCTGTTTTGTAAAACATCAAGGATCTGAGTGAGAGTAATTACCCGACCGTGGCAGTCGCCACAACAATTCAGCCCATAACAGACAATGTTGCCACTCAATTAACCCTACCAACTGAAGAAAATTTAGTTCGAACTGCACAACCCATGCGCAAGCAACGAGAACAGGTTTTACCAGTCTCCCCAGCAACAAGAAATTTCGAAATAGCAGAGCTATTTGCGAACTTTTTAAGATTTCACCAAGGACAAAAAGATCTAGAAAGGATTAGTTTATTCGGCGACCCAGAAATACTTCGTGCGCTCAAAAAGTCTAACTTTTGATTGACTGACGGAACTTTCAATGTTACTCCTAATTAGTTTAATCAACTTTATTTCATACATGTCTTTCAGGAAAATCCCCCGCTTGCATATATGCCTTCTTACCAAATAAAACGGAAAAAACATACCATGGTAAAACAGTCGAGGAAATTCAAATAGTATGCGATCGTCATGAAAAAGTCGGAAAAAACAGCAAAAGTTGACGAGCTCTGCTCTTATTTTGAATCTAACTACAAGAAAGTCTAGTCCCGAACCGAGAAGTCCTATTCCCCCCGTCTCTATAGAACCAAAAAAAATGCGGCAACATCCGGTTGGCGAGAACACCAAATGCCGTGTAGGGCTGGCATACAGTCATACTTTAGTGGTTCACACTCTAGTATTTGGAAAGTAATTGCAAACTTGCAAAAAGACGCCTTCCTTCAAAAACTTAGTTTCTTTGACGCCTCGAAAGGGCACAAAAACACAAAAAAAAAGAAAAAGTACCGAGTCCTAAACGAAACAGTGCAGAAAATTACGCATGTTTATGAAGAAAAAACTGATTTAGATTTCTTTCGCGCTATGGCGAACTTAAGCTTAACATTGCTTCATTTGTTCTTTGTATATATTTTAAAAATATATACAAAAAAAGTTGTTCGTCAATTTTTGAGAAAAGACGTCTCCTTGCAGCCTCCCGGAGACTTAAAAAACGCATTGGCTTGACTTGCATTTGAAAAATGCTGCCTCTAGAAATCTAATCGACCCTTTGGTGGGACGCTAGGTTGAGACTAAGGGCTGGCAAATCCATCTGACATTGCGTTGTATGCCGACAGTTCAAAAAAATTTCAACTTTAGATGGTTCGAAAAATTAGTTTAGTTTTACTTTAAAATGATTTGCATTTGAAAAAAACTTAAGATTAGATCGATCAAACTTTTGGTCACAACCAGTTTTCATTCATAATTCATTTAAATTCAGACAATTAATCCATTATTAGCAAGATTATTTTCAAGATCGAGTTCAATTTTGGGGAAATCTAATCATTTCTGGTTAATAATTTGAATCATGCCGATTGGATAAGTTTTCAAATTCATATCAAAGTCTAGACTATCGGCAAGGTCATTTCTGTTCAAATCTAAACGTATTTAGCAGCTTGTATGTTATTTCGTTATGCTTCGTAAAAGTTTTTGCAATTAAAGCTTTGATTTTTACCGAAGCTATGGTTCCGAATTCCTCCCAAGTAAGTTTCACTTTGATTCGAACAACTGGTATCAAAAAAGGGTTAATTGATTTGGAAACAATTGTTGCGGGGTCATCTAATTCTGGGGTTATATGAGAGGGGGTTAAAAAAAAGGAGTTGAAAACGCGGAGTTATTAGCTTGGAAACCCAATTTGAACCCAAACGCTGTGCTTTTAATCGGCAACTAGACTTTATCCATTGAACGATTCTTCTCACAAATCTTCAAGCAAGCTTATTATTTAAGAAAATTTTATCAGTTACGTACCCTGACGACAAATGGCCTTCCGACCCTCTCCTGGGATATTTCGAAGGAGTAGAGAGGAATGGCGTAGAACACGTCATAGGGCAGGATGGATACCATATCTATCTTGAAACGGAAGCTGCGGATGTACCTCTGCAGCAGTAGCTTCGGTTCAGCCACTGTCAAACCCTCCAGGAAATAGCCTAAAATTTAAGCATGAAAGCTGTAAAAAAATGCTGCAACCACTAACACAAAAACTGAAGTGCCGTATACGATCAAAGGACTCATTATTCGTATCATCAAAAATCTTTCAAGTGCCATTTATTTAATAGCTTAAATGTAAGTCTATGCAGTAAAAACGTCATCAAAATTAGCGATTGATTTGTTTTCAAAACAATTCCCTCTTATGTGCATATTTCTTAAAATCATATTCATTTTCAAAAAAACTCAGCAATCGCTTTTGTCGCTTGCGGCTTTCAACACACGATGCGGATCTGCGTACTTGCAACAGAAAACCATTTCTCAAAGCCTAAAAAAGTTTTAAGAAAAAAACATAAACGCAACATTCAAGAGCTAGTTTAACATTCAAGGCGAATTATTTCAGATACAGGAAGAATACTGTATTTCTTTAGAAACGTTGATTATCAGACAAATTGACCTTTTGATTCATTTATAATAAAAAGATGATCTGTTCAGCAATTTTTATACGAGGTAAACGAAAAATAAAAACAAGTTTGCTTTAAAAATTGTCGACAAGAAAAATTACATAACACTTTCAATTCCATTTCTCATGAAATCTTAGAAAAAATTGAAACATATGCTTTTTCCAAAAATGCAGCAAACCTCCTAAACGATTTTTCAAGAGGCGAAGCGGAGCTTCGCACCACTTGCGATGCAACACACTCATAAAAAAGCAGGAGTCGCAAAAATTTTTTAAAAAATCTTGAAAAAAACTAGGTGAAACAAAACTTTCGTATGTCTCGATGAAAGACACCTAGGGCTCAGCTGAAGCCAAGTATTTAATATTTTTTGAATTTTTTATACTGATGCGGGACGAAATGCGTAATTTCAAAATTTAGACTGCCCAAAACCTTAGTTGTTTCTCAACTAAAGCGTGGGAGTATAAAAATTAAGGAACAGCACCTTCTGGAGAAAAAATTCACGCAACCGCTTCTTTCAATTGAAAATTTCATCTGATTTGATGGGGTAATTCTTAAAAAAATTCAAAAAATTCTCTAAAATGGTCAAAGCTCAAAAACCATTAAGTTTTTTTTTCTGCTAAAAGCATGTCATGGCCGGTAAAGTAGGGAAAATTTCCAAAACCGTGTTTTTTCGATTGAACACTCTATCTGAGAATTGGCAAGTAATTTTAGAGTCGAGTAGGAAAACTTCCAAAAAACGGTCCAATTTTCAAAACTTTCAATTGTTGAAAGTCCATAACTTTTTTTCTAGCAGAAACTGGGCGTAGCAAAATACCAAGTTGAGCGTCTAACAACCCGTTGGGTCGATTAAACCTATGATATCAGTTTTGGCCGGATAGTAATCGAGAAAAGACCAAAAAACGGCCAAACAAATCAGAGAGCAGACATTTCCGCGAATCATTATTTTTTGTTTTAAAAAAATTGGGCGTAGCCGCTTACAGAGAAGAGATTGACCCAATCTGTTCTTTCGATTGAACCCAAAAACCTAGCTTTGGCCGGGTAGTTCGCGAGAAAATTTTTCAAAAAACGGTCAAAAAATCAAAATTTTGACTTCTCCGACGGCCATAATTAGATTTGCATAAAAAATTTTGGTGCAAACGAGCTTCGGACAACCCGTTCTTTGGATCGAAGAAAAGCCCACACAAACAACTTTTTTCCCAATTTTAAGACAATTGATTCACAAGAGAAAGGGCCAACATTTAATTTTTTGCAATTCTAAGACGATTTATCCACGAGGTAAAGGACCAACATGCGAGTTGTTGTGCCCCTGGTTAAGATAGCAAGCAGTTTTTTTTTTGGCTATTTTTCTGGGCTGGGTAATATTGACTCTCCCTGAAGAAACAAGCACGGATCAGAGTGGAGTGGGCCTCGAACATCCGACCTTTCGACTGAGGCTGAGACGTAACCAATTCGCCGACTCTTCAAGTTTCCAGCTAAATTTTAGTTACATCGGTTAAACACAGAGGCGAAGCTGCGCTGCACAAACACTAGCGAGAACACAAAAAAGAGCCATATAAAGTGGAATAAGAAAAAGTACAAATAAGCCTGGAATTATTTTTAAAAACTCTGCCACTCGACGGATTTGAACCTGTAATCTAAACAGTAAGAATATTACGCCTTGAACTCTCAGCCATGGATGCTTAACAATGGGCAAACACTAGCCACGCATAATGCTACAGATCGTGATTATAGCACAAGAAAAACCAAATGACTCCTTTTACTTGCGAGATCGGCTTAAAAAAATAAGGTTCATACTAATTCAGTACGCTCGCTAGTGTAAACACATTTGGATGGTGAAATGGATGGTAAACCATGGAATAATTTGACTATCGTGACAAATTGAGCCATCCGGTTATTTATCGGAAAAAATTCGAAATTTCGGTTGCGATACCCTTGTTTATCGCAAGGATAAATACTAACCAGTTCGGCAGGACACCAACATGTCCAGAAAGTAGATGAAGTCGCATATGTAGTCCACACTGTACCAGAGGGGCCTGAAGCTTTTCTGCACCTCCTGGATACCCGCTCTTGCTACAATCATCACTAAATTGTAGAAACAGGCCGTGGCTATGATAGTCTGCCACACGTAGTATACTGCATCATGAGGTCCAAACACGTAAGCAGTTCGCTCTTTCCTACCAAACAATGGTCATGAAAACCTTAACGTCTAAAAAAGTAAAATCGATCAAAAAAAAACGAGATGATTAGCTTATTTTTACTAGATATAAATGGTTAATTTTTCCTATGTCCTATCACTCTCAATGTTAACATCGTTTTCGATAAATGTTATAAGTCACAAATGTTATCACAAACTTATTGCGGATGCCAATCACCAGCTCGCCGTCCTCTTTCTTCTCAAATGTCCCATCGAACTTCTCTGCCTTTCCTACAGTGGATAGATTTGGGTTGAACAGTTCCAGGAACGTCTCTATCTTGTGGGACTCCTCTTTTTCCTTCTCTTTTATCTTGTCTGTCTTAATTTGGTCTATGAGCTTCCGGGTCAGTTTGCCCAACGTTTTGTTGGTTGCATTGGCTATCACTAAAACAAGTAAAACAACTCTTTCAGCTAAATCCAAGAACGCTATAACTATATATTTTTAAAGAAAGCGGATATTTACACGAATCGATCCTTGACCAGAAAGTAAATGGGGAAATGATTTCGACTATTTTTTTTTATATCATTCACATATCAGGTTTACAAGGTACGTTAAAAAAACTAAAATAGACAACAAATTATCCGCCTAATTCTCACCTGAAGTGGTACTAGATGTTGTCTTCTTACTCGATCTGCTCTTTACTGTTTCCAACGTAGAATCCGCATACTCACTACTATTGGCATGCGGTGGAGATGGAAATGGCAACCCGGCAGCGAGGGGAGGGTATTTTCTGAAGTTGGGTTCCGAGTGTCTGTTCACCACGGCAGTTCTGCCGGAAGAACTGGACACTGAGTGCAGCGATTCTGTCGGAGAGAGACAGTCAGCGGCATCTGCCATTTTTGGCAGCATTTCCGGTACGGGATAACAAACTTATGTCTGACTGCTGGCTCAATGTTCTATAGTTTTGAAATTCGTATGGCTTTAAATTTTGGTTAAGCCCAATCACATCAAAGCTCGTGTTTGTAATTCCAGGAAAAAATATTTTCTCGCCTTTAGGGAGCTTTAATATATCAACAAACATCAAGAAAGTTCGGATCTATTAGATGATCCAATATGCAAAGAAATTAAAAGGCAGCTGCTCTCGCAAGAGTACAGAGAAGGTAGTATCGAGAATTCAAAATTTCTTCGAAGAGGGATGGTAAGTTGAAGTGGGATTATAAATAACTAGCTACTCAAATGTGAATAAACTGAGTGAGCCAGAAAATGAAGGTAGAGGGCTGAGTGTTTAGATTTAAAATTAGCGAGAGTGCATTAGTGCTTCGAAAAGGCGGCGGGGCGTTTCCGGCACTGTGAATTACCTCCTCCTCCTCCCAAAGTTCACGCGGCGGGAAGTTTTTTCACTTCGTGGTTTATCATCTAATTGCGACCGGCTCGAAAATGGACCAGTACTTCGGGAGGCCCTCCGAACTTCCTTCCTGCTTTTTCACTCGCATTCCTATCCATCCATACCAAATACACCATTACAGCGCGAAATGCTAACTAAGTTATGAGCAATCTTTTTGATATGCCAATGATTAATGCATGCTACATCGACCAACAATTTAAAAGTTATATGTCCGAAAAACTACATGTTATAGAACGTACCTTAGATTGCGTTTTAAGTTTTTGATAAATAAACGGCTTATTTTTATCTAGAAAGACATTAACTTTAAAAGTGACCAGTACAGGATGACCATTTGAAAATATGTAAATTTGAATAATTAAAACAACTTTTGAAGACAACTGAACTTGATATATATATATATATATATATATATATATATATATATATATATATATATATATATATATATATATATACAGAAAGAGAGCTTATAAGGAATACTGACTGAATGAATAGCACAACCTTCTCTGTGATGTTATTTACAGCAGATCTCATCCTTGTGATTGACTGGGGGAACTGTTAATTGGGGAAACCGATACGATAAAATATATAAGATACAAGGATGCTATTTTTTCAAAAACTTAAATGTTGTATCTGGTTAACCCAATAAAACAAAAAGACATTTGAAGCCATCGGTTAAATACATGTTGTCTCGTGATAAGTTATTGAACAATTATCTGATTTATTTAAAAGAGGGGTTCATATAAACCATGAACAGCGTTTTTTAGCATTCAATTCTTAAACTATCATTTCTCGGCAGTCTTGAATGCAACTTTTTGAACGCTATAGAAGCAAACGTAGTACAAATTTACCAGATTAACGAGACATCTAAATTCATAATTATTATGATCAATTTCAAAACTCAACTCGGGCATAGCATAATGAATAAGAAAGCACCAACCTATCACAAATGAACCAATTCACTGCGTTTACCAAAAGATTGATTCTGATATATTTGTGATTGAAAAAGTTCCCCTAGTGAAAAAACAATAAGTCAACCTCCACCAAACCGATTAAATCTATCTTAACAAGAGTAATTAATTCAGAAGTTGAATCATATGTAGGAGGAAATTGATGCTTGGAAACTTCTGATGTAAATTTCACCTCTTTGTTGAGAGTTCTGTGGATAGCCATTCCATACCTTCGTCTAGACCAAATCCTTTTGTGGCGGATGTCTTGAAAATCTGCCATTTTCTGTTTTTAAGTGCAGCTAAACCCAACTCGTTGGCAACTTCTGTCACAGTCATTGCACCTTCTATGTCTTGTTTATTAGCGAACACAACCAGACATGCATTCTTAAGTTCCTCTTCCTCTAACATCGCCACCAGTTCCTGCTTCGATATTGAGATCCTTTCCTTGTCTTTACTATCCACTACATAAATAATAGCGTCTGTGTTGCTGTAATAGCATCTCCAGTAAGGCCGTATACTTGTCTGTCCGCCCAAGTCCCAAACTTGGAATTTGAGGTTCTTATAAGCGACTGTTTCGACGTTAAATCCTATCGTTGGAATCGTAGTGACTACCTCTCCCACTTGCATTCTGTAGAGAATAGTAGTCTTGCCGGCTCCGTCTAGCCCTAAGATGAGGATGCGCATTTCTTTGCTGCCAAACAGACGCGAAAAAATGCCTGAGAACAGGTTGCCCATGTTGGAACTGAAATGGTCATACACAGTCAAAATTTATCTTCATTAACAGAAACAAAACGAGCACACATTCAGGAAATCTCTAACAAATTTTCAAATTGCCGAGCAAAAAACTGAACACTGTTAAGAAAAATAGGCATTGTGCTATAATTTATTTGAATAACCATAAACTGTTCGGAGCTAATTCTCGTGGCATTTTCGATTTCATGTTGAAAACCTTGCCTTGAGCTACCGTTGTAAATTTCGCGCTATTTTCATTTTTGTTACTGGAGGGTGTAATTGGCCTTCCTTCTAGCAAATGAACTTGAAGTGAAATGAGCTTGAAAAGAAATCAAATCTGCTAAGCTGAAAAATTGAACGAGAACAAATTTCCAGCTTTTTTCCCGAAAAAACGACAAATATTACACATGATCTAAATAAGCGTTTTCGCTACCTTCATTTGCACTGAAAGAGAAGTATACACGCCCCTTTTGTGGACTCATTAGAGCCTTACGGTCGATGATAAAACAAAACAAAAAACAATTAAAAAACGAAGCATTTTTGATCTCAGACGTTATCGTTTTAAATTGACAGTGCCAGAAAAACAATCGCTTTTTCGCGAGCTGAAGTGAAACAAAAATGGATAAGTTAATCGTTTGACAGAGACGGTGCGGATCATAGCAGTACCTTAAACTCGAGATATAAAAACCATTTACAGTGTATGCCAAGCGCAGTTTCACCACAGTGAGAGATTTCATAAAACAAAACTGATGTCATAAACAATTTGAGCAATAGAGTTAAGAAACTCGAACTTTAGAAACCCACAACTCCTGAGTTTAGAAACTCAAACTTTAAAAACCAACCCTTCCTGAGTTAAGAAACTCGAACTTTAAAAATCCATCCCTCCTGAGTTTAGAAACTCGAACTTTAAAACCCATGCCTCATAAGTTTAGAAAATAGAACTTAAAGATCCCTTCCCTCCTGAGTTTAGAAAATAGAACTTTATAAACCCACCCCTCCTGAGTTAAGAAACTCGAACTTTAAAAACACTCCTCCAGAGTTTAGAATTTCGAACTTTAAAAACCCACCCCTCTTGAGTTTCGAAACTCGAACTTTAAAAACCCATCCCTACCGAGTTTAGAAAATAGAACTTTAAAAACCCACCCATCCTGAGTTGAGAAAATAGAACTTTATAAACCCACCCCTCCTGAGTTAAGAAACTCGTACTTTAAAAACCCACCCATCCTGAGTTTAGAAACTCGAACTTAAAAACCCATGCCTCATAAGTTTAGAAAATAGAACTTTATAAACCCATCCCTCCTGAGTTTAGAAAATAGAACTTTATAAACCCACCCCTCCTGAGTTAAGAAACTCGAACTTAAAAAACCCACCCATCCTGAGTTTAGAAACTCGAACTTCAAAACCCATGCCTCATAAGTTTAGAAAATAGAACTTTAAAAACCCACCCATCCTGAGTTTAGAAACTCGAACTTTAAAACCCATGCCTCATAAGTTTAGAAAATAGAACTTAAAGATCCCCTCCCTCCTGAGTTTAGAAAATAGAACTTTATAAACCCACCCCTCCTGAGTTAAGAAACTCGAACTTCAAAACCTATGCCTCATAAGTTTAGAAAATAGAACTTCATGAACCCACCCCTCCTGAGTTAAGAAACTCGAACTTTAAACACCCACCCATCCTGAGTTTAGAAACTTGAACTTTACAAACCCACCCTTCTGAAAAAAAAACTGACTCTGTTTTTACCCTTCAGACGACTCAATCTATGGTTTCTCAATCGATGTAACGTTAAGTCGATACAAATTAAGCAAAAATAAAAAAGGGAAATTCAAAGCGCATGAACTGCATCAAAACGTGTCAGCGTGAACAGGTGAACAAATTTTTACTATATTTCTTACATGAAAAATGCCGTGTGAATACCTTTTGAACAGCTTTGTTTGGTTATATTACGAGGGGGTGGGAAACTGGAAAAGAGCCCCAAAACCGTGTAGGTCGAATGAATCTTTTCAGCAAAAAAAAATGAAAATATAGAAAATCAGGGGTAGTTAATTTAAAAACTATAGCAGGAAATAACAAAATTGCAACTACAAGGAAAATTGCTGAGCACAAAAAATCTGGAAAAGGGTACAAAGCCGACAAAGCTAAGGAATATTTTCAGCTTATAAAAAACAGGTCCTTAACGGATTTGTATCTAGGACCTTAAACATTCCAGGCAGAATCATTCACTCTAGACCGAGTGGTCGCAAGTGCCCAGAGATTTAAACTTACTTTAAATCAAGCTATCAAGTGATTTATCAAAAAGTTGTTAAAGATATAGTAAAGTATAAAAAAGTAAAGATATCCAGCAAAAAATTTATTCAGCTTCAACTGTGTTCACGTGTTCAACAGTAATTAGCTCGATGTTAAGCTCTAGGACAAGCTTTAATTGCTCCAAACGTAGAGCTTCAATTTGTGGATCACTTAAAATTTGCAGCGGAGCAAAAACACTGCTCTACCTTTTTCACATGGTTTCTTTTTTCCGAAGTGTTTACTCCGCTGCAACTTGAAAAAAAACCAAATATACTCAAATGAAGAGCAAAAATCCTACTATTTCCAGTTCTGTTATGGACGAGTGTTATCTGTGCTGTGCGGGAATAATTCAAAAACAAGGCTTAAAATCAAATCTGAAAAACTGAATAAAATGGACGTAAAAATCTTTCACAAATCACTTCCACCAATAGTTAATTGAAAGGTATGAAAATTTGAAACAGCACACTTCTTTTGAACACTTATTTTTACTCAGGCCAATACCTTCTAGGTGGGAAGGAACTAGGATACCACCAAGAAGGTCTGTAACAAATCAAGTAGGGTTTCCTTATAAAGACCTTTCAGCCGAAATTAAAATTCTCGAAGACATATTTCTTAAGAACCCATAGTGTTCAGAAAAGTGGATCCGAATTTTAACTATCCAGACTTATTTACAAACAGTGGAGTGGATCGCTTATTTTGAAAAAACGTTTCTAGCTTTGCTTCGATTCTCTCCATCTACCCAAGAAAACAAAGATAACTGACATCACTTGTAGACCATATCTCAATAACATAGCCAACAATTGTAATAATTAAAAATACAAAATACAACAAATACAAAACACCAATACTACAATTAAATTTTTTGAACAATTTTCAGATTTATATCATCTTAAGACTCTTTAAAAGAAACTAGGGAGTTAAAAAATGTGCAAAAAAAGTAAATCATTTTTTTCGGTATCCGTGAGTTCAATGACAACATAAATAAAACTAACCCAATTAGAGACCTGGGTAAGTTAATTGGCATTTTTTATTCCGCTGGGATTTCAGAGATTTAATTTCCATTTTTGAATACAGGTAAACCATATAATTTGCGCCAGCGCAATTTTCTTATTGGAGAGCGTTATTTGCCTTCCTTTTATTAAATGAATTTTAATTGAGTTTGAAAATTAATCAAAAGTCAACCCCCTAGCCTTAAAACATGAGCGATAACAAATTTATAGTCTTTTTCCCGAAAAAAAAACACACGAGCTAAATTGGTGGAAAATGACTTCGTTCATTAACACTTAATAATGATTAAGAATCTTAGTGAATCTCCTGTGTTAACCGTTACGATAGGTAAACGAAATAGCACTTTATAAATTAGCCACAAAACTTCGAACATAGAGGCGAAGCAGAGCTTGGCACCAATTGCGATACAACACAAATATAGCACAATAAAAAACTAGCAGCCAGAACCTGAGATGAACACCACTAAGACAAAAATTTGTATTGAATGAAAAAACATGAAAGTATGAAGTCAGAAAAAATCAACATGACAAATAGGTCAATTGAACACAGAGGCGAAGCTAAGCTTCCCACCACTTGCGATACACAACAAAGCTCCAAAAATCAAAGATAATGTGTCTTAAGCAAAAATTGAAAAACATAAATGAATTCGTTCGAAATCTTAGGCTCAAAAATCAAAAAAAAAATTATTGCAATTGTTATAGAAGTCAGTTACCGTCAAAACAAAAGAAGGATGTGGGCTTAACTCCAGCCATTTCTTTCTGATAACCAATAGATGACAATGATAAGAGAACATTTCGGTCAAAAAATTGAGATACGATATTTCCTCAGCGTATTCAAAAACTGTTCGAATAATCTTGCAACCAAACAATCTTTTACAATTACAATTTCCACAAAAAAGAACTTGCAGAAAATCTGAAAAGAAAATCACTAAGAGACTAAGAAAACAACGCAATTACATCAAGAATTAACAGTTATGAATTTTATACGCAATGGTAAAAGAGCTACATCACCAAAAATACATAAAAACACCAAAAATGGAAATTAAAAATATTTCGGGAAAAAAATTATTTCAGCCAGAAAAAACGACACGCCTAAAGCTCGAGCAGAACCTGCCGCCACAGTTTTTTGTAAAAAAATTAAATTCGAGTCAAATTTTTGAATTTTGATTCGAAAAATTGAAACAATACGTTAAACCACCAACTTGAATCGATTTAACTATCAATTTATCAATTTTTTTAAAATTGAAACAAAACGTAAAACCATCCGATTGATTCAATTTCAACTAAAATTGCTTAAGCCTATAACACACCTAACTAATTAAAACTAAAACTAGTTTCACGCACTTTTAGAAAAAAACTCAAAAAAGCATGGACCCGAAAAAAAAATTAAATTTATTTGCTAAAAAAATTGTAGCAGACAAATTAAAAAATTTTAATCTGTAAGAGAAAATTTTGGCGCCTATAAAAACCAGAAAACCGTGAATTTTATTTAAACTTATGAAAATGAAGAAAAAAGAAGAAAAGAATTAATTACCCGGCCAGTAAGCCGACAAAATTGGGTCGAAATCAAAAAAGCCGTCAAAAAAATCAACTTACAACTAAAAATTCTTTTCAGCTGTAAAACAATTATCATTTTAATGGTTGAAGCCAGCTTTTGAATTACAGCTGTTAGACGTGCATCTTGAGTAAAAATAGAGATACAAGTGGAGATGACCAAATTTCAGTCATCCTGTGGACAAAGTTGTTTACGGGAAAAAGTTTAGTACCCGATTCTAACATCCTTGCTTATCGCAAGCGTAAAGATAAGTTTGCTTCGAATGAAAACTTACGAAGCGGTATGACCGCCGACAACTTTGAAACGACACCCGTTGAGCCAAAAAGGTTTTCATTAAAAGAACTGAAAAACTATACTTAATTACCTTTTAAAAACTCATAAGAAACTTGTTTTGGTCATCAAAAGCCGCAATATGAAGGTATAAACCGAAACATTTTTTCAGCGGAGTGCATAACAACAGAAAGATGAGAAAATTTTATCAAACCACAGTTGGTCAATTTAAAACCCACATAAAAGTTATTGAAACAGAGCGAAGCTGCAACTTCTCAAAAACCAGCAACAATCTCAAAACTAAATTTTCCAATGCACAAAAACGCAAACAAAATATTGCTTGTAATAAATTTAAATTTATGAAACTAAATTGTAAAAAAAACTATGCAATTCAAAATACACGCAAAATAAATCAGTGTTGAAAATTTTGAAATCGAACTTCTACACAGAGCTGAAGCAGAGCTTCGCATCACGTGAGATACCACGAAGGCTTAGCACTGCAACAGAAAATGACTAGGAAATAAGTAACTCGAAAAAAATGAAAAATTCAATTTTAGAAAAACAGTTGAGAAACAATCACCAGCAATAAATAAACTTTAAATTTTTTACCGGTCGGCCATAGGCCACTGGGTAAACGCCTATAGAGCCGAAACCAAAAAAGAAACTGTTGTCATAAAAAACTTGAACGGTTAAGTTTGAACTTTTGAACCACAAACGACCTGAATTATTCAAAACAATAATAAGCAATTTTTGCCTCCTAAAGACACAATCAAATTGATTAAGCCGACAAAAAATAATCCGAAAACATTCCAGCCGAATAAAATATTCGCAATAAATAACATGTACACATTATAACAAGTCAGTGTTTGTAAACTTACAAACTAGTCAACAAAACTTGAAACTACAATGAAAATAGCTTAAAACACACAACAAAAATTGGGATGTGGCAACTAAGCCACAAAAAAAGCAGGCAAGCGATAGTCCAAATACTCAAATTTTGCCAAAGAAACTTCAATTTCATACAAGCTTAAAAAAATCAAGGTGCGGCCGGGATTACCGCTTCAGACATTGAAGTGCGAAGGCAACCACGTCGCCTTTAGACCTACAGGGAAAGAATCTGGTTTTTAAAGACCATTAACGAAGTAAAATTAATTTGTGATACAAAAGCATTGCCTTACAAGATAATGAATAGGAAAAAAAGACCGAACTCAAAAAATTTTCTCGGAAGAGGTCTACAAAAAAACTTTGATATGTTCACCTGAAATATATTTTATCGACAGCGTCAGAAAACAATGGGAATCATTTAAAAAGCGGCAACTAAGCCGACAAAACAGCCTAAAACAAAACTACAGTAATGAAAAATTTGAACTAAAAAGTTCAGAAACTGATCGTTTTTATGGCCCTCGTGAAACATACAAAAGCATATGAAAAAACTTCCCTTTTAAACTACGCAAAAGGAGATGACCTAAGCGATATAACACAAACTGAATCCCTTTAACTGAAAAACAAAACCCCAGTCAAGTTTGATAAATTTACCAATTAGAGAACAACTTTCAGTTATATTCAAAATTGTTGTAATTAGAATGAAAAACATGTTTCGAAAAGGAAACCAGTGAAACCCGAACCATATAGCATAAATGCTTTTGAAAAAAAAAACAGAAACTGTGCCGCCAAAAATTAAGACGGAAACAAGTAATACGAAAAAATCATACATAGCCAACTGACAGTTGGAAAAGAGTAATGAACGTAAGGAAACAAACAAAAACTGGCAAACCTTCAACTTTTGAATTCCGAAGAAAAAAATAGATGGCCTTAGAGCTCTTTGAATTTAAAACAATTTATCATGGACACTTTTTTCAACATTAACACAATTTGAGAAAACTGGATCAATAGGTATAACTTTTATTGCGCTGGGAAATCTGATAAATAATTTTAATTTTTGAAACTACAAGTCGATCACGTTTTTCTTTACATTTTTGCTGTTCTATAGTGGAGTTTGCCTTCTTTTAACAATAGAAATGCACTGAAGTTAAAAATAAATCACAATTCAAACCGCAAAAAATCAAAACTTATCGTGAACAAATTTTATTACTCTTAACCACGTTCACTACTCTTAACCACTATTCAATAAAGAATAGATAGTTAGCTTAAAATTTCATAAAAAATTGCATGACATCGCTTGAAAAAAAAGCGCGCATTTTATCACTAAATCTGTAACAAAAGTAGCATTTGGTTACACGCGACAATTGGTACCAATTCAAAAAGCGAAAATTCGCCGCAGAGCAATTAAGTAAACGGCAATTTTGAATTATTTGAATTAGCAATACAGCAGCCCAACGGCCGTACCTTAGTAGGTCTGAAACTTGATATGGAATGTTTCGCAGAACTACTAAGCGATGAAACCTGATTAAGCTGGTTTGCGACTATATGCCGCCTATAATATTAGCGACGAATGGTCGATTGCGACGAATGGTCGCTTGCGACTTTTTCTGCTATGCCAGTTGAAAAGCATCAAATTTAACCTATTACTAATCAATTTTATGCAAAGAGGCGAAGCTGCGTTTCGCAAACACTTGCGAGAACACGACCAAAAAGCAGCGCTACCAAATGAAATAAGAAAAAGTCGAAATAAGGCTCGAAGCAGCAAAAACGGCTACGTGTGGCATTCGAATCAGCGCACTAGCAAATTTGAGTCTAACGCACTAACTATTCATTCACGGATGCTTAAAATCCCCAAAGACTAGCCACCAATAACGCAGCTACATATGCTAATAAATTGCCAATTCGATGCAGCAAAAGTAGCACCAAATAGAAAAACACGCAATTTTTTATGTAATAAATTAGAAAGCATAAAGCCAAATTAAGTATGAATTATGAATTTCAAAAAAATTGCGAGATACATTGAGTTGCAAAACTTCTGTAACCGAGCTTTTTATCATTGTACTGCTGTTTGAAACAATGACTTTTTTCGGCTCATTAGATGAATTAAAAATGCATCAGCTGTGTTAACTATTTACTAATCAAATTTCAAAGCACGTAGGATATTATACTGCTACCGCAGCCTACCGATTCAAAAATGCCACCAAAAGAAGCACTTTTTGCTATTTAGCTTTAAAAAAAAAGAAAGTTCGTAATAATACACTTTGCTTCGCAAGTGTAAAAAATATGCTATTAAATTGTTGATGCTCCCTATAGCTGAAAATTTCCACAATTATTTGTGACTTGGTTTGAAGAAAAAAGAAATTGCTTCGAAGTATTGCAATACGCTCTGCATGTGTAAACAGAACTGGTATTTGGAATACAGACATGCTCAAAATATGTCGGCTGATTGACGGAAAAGCAGAATTGAGAAAATGATTCAGTGATTCTGTTGGACAAATTGTTTACAAGAAGTCCATTTTCGATTTCACAATGCTTGCTAATCGCGAGCATGATCGTCGCATGCGTTATTATTTTGTACATTTTAATCGACGATAGAAAAATTGAAAAAGAAATCTTTTTTATCAGAAAAAATTCGTCAGCTGAAGTCTTATAACTCAATCACCTCCACCAAAGGCATTAAAATCTGAACCTTGAAAAACAGCCCGTGCTACGGCAGCTTAGCCAAAAAAAATAAGTATAGCCAACAGGCAGCTAGAAAGAATCAATGAATGAAAAAAAAAGAGCTAGAAAGAATCAATGAATGAAAAAAAAAGAAAAAAAATTGACTTTCGAATTTCAAAAAAAATATGGCCCTTAAGCTCTTTGAATTCTCAGAACAATTTAGCCCCAATACATTGTAGTCTCAAGCATGTGTGTTACCTCTACGTGAGATGTCCTGGATTGTTCATTGAACTTGAATTTCTTATGAAGCAAGTTCAAACACGTGTAATTCTTGTGAACAAAATTCTTTGCAAACAAAATCTAATGCCCGGCTGCAACACTCTTGTTTATCGCAACGGGCAACGAAACTCGATAACCGAAATATAAAATGAACAATTTAAAATTAAATTGATGTTTCACTTCTTCTTTAGCAGTGATTACTTTGCTCCGAATATTCTGTTTTAACTGCACGCCAACCGGTTACTATCGTTTTATCGTAACGCATTAAACCGAATAAACGCAGTCACTAGTCGATAAAAAGTCACAGGGAAAAATATTGCTAATATATTTAACTACACATTTCAAATTCCAAGTCACATATAATGATGTCACATGAGAAGTTGAACAACGGATAAGAGGTCATTCGAAAAATTAATTCGCAAATATTGACCATCCAAAAAGCAAAGCAGTGAATGGGTACTAAGTTTAAAACTTAACCAAATCAAATTTGCGCACACTTATTTAGGGTAAAAATTAAGAACACAAATAAATTACATTGATATTACTACAATATATTCTCTGTATCTCAATTCAATTATAGCAATTAACTCTACGGATCGGAGTTTGTCCTGTTAGGTGTGTCAAATAGGCATTAAAACTAGTTTCCAAAATATTATCAACAAGCTAACTTGAAACGTAATTTCGATAGATAAAACAATGCCATTATTTCATTGGCACAGAAAGAATTCCTCATTTCAATTCAAGAGATTCATTCTAAGAACGGAAGGGTTGACTGTTCATCAACTTTTCGAGACGCGATTTAAGTGCTGTTGATGTAAAATGTCCTTGACGATTTGGGTGTTGGGTGAAATTTCACTGCCGGCTGACGAGGGATGCTTTAAGCTGGGAACAGATAGAGTCGAGAATTTTTCCATGCAGTGATACAAATTGACTAGAACAACCATGTGGAACGGCAGGCAGGAACTTCTGTCAAACGAGTAAAATGGGTCAATATTTAACCAGGACAGCGAATTGTAACTTTCCAACACATGTCGAAGAACTGTTGTCGTATGCATTGAATCTAGTGGATGATTTTGCTCGTCATTCATTGAGGTTTTGATGTGAAGAGCAGCTTTAAGTGTTGCTGGATCTCTGAACTCGGCAAGAGGGTTCGCGGACCAGAACCAGGAGGGCAGTTGACCAGTGGGTGCTGTTGATACGTAGAAGCCCAGCGCCAAGGGCTGCTGCTGGAGGGGGTCCTTCGGGTCTCCTTCACTCAGAGGTAAAAACGCAGAGCACTGCGCCTAAAACAGAAAAAAAACCCATACTTTTATAAATTCTGATCATCTAATAGGAACTAGAGCCGTTCATAACCAATCAAATTGAAATTCAAGCACTGTCCTACTTAAAAACAACGTACTTTTTTCGTAACTCCTCCGTTGCCTGAATTGTCATTTTCGAGACTGTCGGAAGCTTTATTGCCAGGAATGGTGTCCAATTCGTCCATGATCTGTCCGATGTCATTTTGTTCTTCGTCGATGAAGTTAAATAGTTCACTCAAGTTGTCCAGTTCATTCGGCCCTGGATTCATCTGCGGCGTGTTAGAAGCCAGATGCAAGCAAAATATATGCATGTTATCAATTTTCCCTTTTCAAAATGTACGTGTTTTTTATCCGATGTATTTTTTCTCTTTCTAAGTAGTAGGCTATATCGGCTATATTTTACCCCAAAACAGAGGATCTATAATAAGACTTTAATAGTTACAGCGCAAAATTAGGGTTTTTGTGAGATACTTTTGGAGCATTCCTAATGAAATCTATCGCCGCAAAACTCAAGCAAAAGCAATAACGCTTTATTTCTTTAGTTTTCGGGCTTTTACTTTCAGCATCCATTTAACTGTTTGTTCAATTTCATTTCGGTAATAATAGCATTCTGAGAGATAAAAAAAAACATTTTCAAAAAATATGCTGTCAATCTTTAGTGCTTTATAGGCGATAAACAGTTACTGCTGTCATTGAAATGGTGTTACTTGGGAGTTTGCTGAAATGGGGATGACGAGAACATGGGTGCAAGACACTTCTCTGGTGCCACTCAGTCCACTTATGAATGAGGACTGTCCAGATGAAGAACTGGAGAGCCCACTCCCTTTCTTACTGCTGCCACTCCCACTTGCCCCCGAGCCACCTTCACTTCCACTTCCCCCACTATGAGGATCTGAATTTACACAAAATAACCAATTACAACCAGGTGTTTAAGGACACATCGAATGAAGAACAAAAACATATTTCTCCGATGACATACTTGTATGGAGAAAACACAAAAATTTGATTTCAAAGAGTTGACAAGAGACGGGATAGATAAGCTTCAAGAATTTGTACTCCGCATTCAATCACAAGAAAATTTATAAAAATAATAAATAGAGAACTGACAAATGTACAGAACATTGATTGATTAATTGATGAAGTAAAAATAACATTGATATAATATGGACACAAAAACTATTTTATCTTTGACAGACTTCACATCTCAAAATCATACCAAAATTCAAGTATAGGCAAACAATTTTTCGCTTTAGATTAATTGATTTTATACAAAAATTTTTTTATAATAAATTGAGAAATGGACAGATTAGAAATAAATACTAAGAAGAAAGACGTTCAATATTACCCCAATTTTGCGTTTTAGATAAATTTTCGCAAGCTAAAATGGTTCAATCAATAACAATACATAGTAGGGGTTCTTTTTCTTCGATGATTGAAATAAAAATTCAAAGTTTCACAAACAAAGTTTCACAGACAAAGGCGAGGCGAAAATTCGGAGAAAATCATAAAAAACGTGATATCTCGAAAACTACAAGAATTTGCGCAGTCATAGGGTTTCCTTATAAAGACCTTTCAGCCGAAATTAAAATTCTCGAAGACATATTTCTGAAGAACCCATAGTGTTCAGAAAAGCGGATCCGAATTTTAACTATCCAGACTTATTTACAAACAGTGGAGTGGATCGCTTATTTTGAAAAACGTTTCTAGCTTTGCTTCGATTCTCTCCATCTACCCAAGAAAACAAAGATAACTGACATCACTTGTAGACCATATCTCAATAACATAGCCAACAATTGTAATAATTAAAAATACAAAATACAACAAATACAAAACACCAATACTACAATTAAATTTTTTGAACAATTTTCAGATTTATATCATCTTAAGACTCTTTAAAAGAAACTAGGGAGTTAAAAAATGTGCAAAAAAAGTAAATCATTTTTTTCGGTATCCGTGAGTTCAATGACAACATAAATAAAACTAACCCAATTAGAGACCTGGGTAAGTTAATTGGCATTTTTTATTCCGCTGGGATTTCAGAGATTTAATTTCCATTTTTGAATACAGGTAAACCATATAATTTGCGCCAGCGCAATTTTCTTATTGGAGAGCGTTATTTGCCTTCCTTTTATTAAATGAATTTTAATTGAGTTTGAAAATTAATCAAAAGTCAACCCCCTAGCCTTAAAACATGAGCGATAACAAATTTATAGTCTTTTTCCCGAAAAAAAAACACACGAGCTAAATTGGTGGAAAATGACTTCGTTCATTAACACTTAATAATGATTAAGAATCTTAGTGAATCTCCTGTGTTAACCGTTACGATAGGTAAACGAAATAGCACTTTATAAATTAGCCACAAAACTTCGAACATAGAGGCGAAGCAGAGCTTGGCACCAATTGCGATACAACACAAATATAGCACAATAAAAAACTAGCAGCCAGAACCTGAGATGAACACCACTAAGACAAAAATTTGTATTGAATGAAAAAACATGAAAGTATGAAGTCAGAAAAAATCAACATGACAAATAGGTCAATTGAACACAGAGGCGAAGCTAAGCTTCCCACCACTTGCGATACACAACAAAGCTCCAAAAATCAAAGATAATGTGTCTTAAGCAAAAATTGAAAAACATAAATGAATTCGTTCGAAATCTTAGGCTCAAAAATCAAAAAAAAAATTATTGCAATTGTTATAGAAGTCAGTTACCGTCAAAACAAAAGAAGGATGTGGGCTTAACTCCAGCCATTTCTTTCTGATAACCAATAGATGACAATGATAAGAGAACATTTCGGTCAAAAAATTGAGATACGATATTTCCTCAGCGTATTCAAAAACTGTTCGAATAATCTTGCAACCAAACAATCTTTTACAATTACAATTTCCACAAAAAAGAACTTGCAGAAAATCTGAAAAGAAAATCACTAAGAGACTAAGAAAACAACGCAATTACATCAAGAATTAACAGTTATGAATTTTATACGCAACGGTAAAAGAGCTACATCACCAAAAATACATAAAAACACCAAAAATGGAAATTAAAAATATTTCGGGAAAAAAATTATTTCAGCCAGAAAAAACGACACGCCTAAAGCTCGAGCAGAACCTGCCGCCACAGTTTTTTGTAAAAAAATTAAATTCGAGTCAAATTTTTGAATTTTGATTCGAAAAATTGAAACAATACGTTAAACCACCAACTTGAATCGATTTAACTATCAATTTATCAGTTTTTTGATTTTTTTTAAAATTGAAACAAAACGTAAAACCATCCGATTGATTCAATTTCAACTAAAATTGCTTAAGCCTATAACACACCTAACTAATTAAAACTAAAACTAGTTTCACGCACTTTTAGAAAAAAACTCAAAAAAGCATGGACCCGAAAAAAAATTAAATTTATTTGCTAAAAAAATTGTAGCAGACAAATTAAAAAATTTTAATCTGTAAGAGAAAATTTTGGCGCCTATAAAAACCAGAAAACCGTGAATTTTATTTAAACTTATGAAAATGAAGAAAAAAGAAGAAAAGAATTAATTACCCGGCAAGTAAGCCGACAAAATTGGGTCGAAATCAAAAAAGCCGTCAAAAAAAATCAACTTACAACTAAAAATTCTTTTCAGCTGTAAAACAATTATCATTTTAATGGTTGAAGCCAGCTTTTGAATTACAGCTGTTAGACGTGCATCTTGAGTAAAAATAGAGATACAAGTGGAGATGACCAAATTTCAGTCATCCTGTGGACAAAGTTGTTTACGGGAAAAAGTTTAGTACCCGATTCTAACATCCTTGCTTATCGCAAGCGTAAAGATAAGTTTGCTTCGAATGAAAACTTACGAAGCGGTATGACCGCCGACAACTTTGAAACGACACCCGTTGAGCCAAAAAGGTTTTCATTAAAAGAACTGAAAAACTATACTTAATTACCTTTTAAAAACTCATAAGAAACTTGTTTTGGTCATCAAAAGCCGCAATATGAAGGTATAAACCGAAACATTTTTTCAGCCGAGTGCATAACAACAGAAAGATGAGAAAATTTTATCAAACCACAGTTGGTCAATTTAAAACCCACATAAAAGTTATTGAAACAGAGCGAAGCTGCAACTTCTCAAAAACCAGCAACAATCTCAAAACTAAATTTTCCAATGCACAAAAACGCAAACAAAATATTGCTTGTAATAAATTTAAATTTATGAAACTAAATTGTAAAAAAAACTACGCAATTCAAAATACACGCAAAATAAATCAGTGTTGAAAATTTTGAAATCGAACTTCTACACAGAGCTGAAGCAGAGCTTCGCATCACGTGCGATACCACGAAGGCTTAGCACTGCAACAGAAAATGACTAGGAAATAAGTAACTCGAAAAAAATGAAAAATTCAATTTTAGAAAAACAGTTGAGAAACAATCACCAGCAATAAATAAACTTTAAATTTTTTACCGGTCGGCCATAGGCCACTGGGTAAACGCCTATAGAGCCGAAACCAAAAAAGAAACTGTTGTCATAAAAAACTTGAACGGTTAAGTTTGAACTTTTGAACCACAAACGACCTGAATTATTCAAAACAATAATAAGCAATTTTTGCCTCCTAAAGACACAATCAAATTGATTAAGCCGACAAAAAATAATCCGAAAACATTCCAGCCGAATAAAATATTCGCAATAAATAACATGTACACATTATAACAAGTCAGGGTTTGTAAACTTACAAACTAGTCAACAAAACTTGAAACTACAATGAAAATAGCTTAAAACACACAACAAAAATTGGGATGTGGCAACTAAGCCACAAAAAAAGCAGGCAAGCGATAGTCCAAATACTCAAATTTTGCCAAAGAAACTTCAATTTCATACAAGCTTAAAAAAATCAAGGTGCGGCCGGGATTACCGCTTCAGACATTGAAGTGCGAAGGCAACCACGTCGCCTTTAGACCTACAGGGAAAGAATCTGGTTTTTAAAGACCATTAACGAAGTAAAATTAATTTGTGATACAAAAGCATTGCCTTACAAGATAATGAATAGGAAAAAAAGACCGAACTCAAAAAATTTTCTCGGAAGAGGTCTACAAAAAAACTTTGATATGTTCACCTGAAATATATTTTATCGACAGCGTCAGAAAACAATGGGAATCATTTAAAAAGCGGCAACTAAGCCGACAAAACAGCCTAAAACAAAACTACAGTAATGAAAAATTTGAACTAAAAAGTTCAGAAACTGATCGTTTTTATGGCCCTCGTGAAACATACAAAAGCATATGAAAAAACTTCCCTCTTAAACTACGCAAAAGGAGATGACCTAAGCGATATAACACAAACTGAATCCCTTTAACTGAAAAACAAAACCCCAGTCAAGTTTGATAAATTTACCAATTAGAGAACAACTTTCAGTTATATTCAAAATTGTTGTAATTAGAATGAAAAACATGTTTCGAAAAGGAAACCAGTGAAACCCGAACCATATAGCATAAATGCTTTCGAAAAAAAAAACAGAAACTGTGCCGCCAAAAATTAAGACGGAAACAAGTAATACGAAAAAATCATACATAGCCAACTGACAGTTGGAAAAGAGTAATGAACGTAAGGAAACAAACAAAAACTGGCAAACCTTCAACTTTTGAATTCCGAAGAAAAAAATAGATGGCCTTAGAGCTCTTTGAATTTAAAACAATTTATCATGGACACTTTTTTCAACATTAACACAATTTGAGAAAACTGGATCAATAGGTATAACTTTTATTGCGCTGGGAAATCTGATAAATAATTTTAATTTTTGAAACTACAAGTCGATCACGTTTTTCTTTACATTTTTGCTGTTCGATAGTGGAGTTTGCCTTCTTTTAACAATAGAAATGCACTGAAGTTAAAAATAAATCACAATTCAAACCGCAAAAAATCAAAACTTATTGTGAACAAATTTTATTACTCTTAACCACGTTCACTACTCTTAACCACTATTCAATAAAGAATAGATAGTTAGCTTAAAATTTCATAAAAAATTGCATGACATCGCTTGAAAAAAAAGCGCGCATTTTATCACTAAATCTGTAACAAAAGTAGCATTTGGTTACACGCGACAATTGGTACCAATTCAAAAAGCGAAAATTCGCCGCAGAGCAATTAAGTAAACGGCAATTTTGAATTATTTGAATTAGCAATACAGCAGCCCAACGGCCGTACCTTAGTAGGTCTGCAACTTGATATGGAATGTTTCGCAGAACTACTAAGCGATGAAACCTGATTAAGCTGGTTTGCGACTATATGCCGCCTATAATATTAGCGACGAATGGTCGATTGCGACGAATGGTCGCTTGCGACTTTTTCTGCTATGCCAGTTGAAAAGCATCAAATTTAACCTATTACTAATCAATTTTATGCAAAGAGGCGAAGCTGCGTTTCGCAAACACTTGCGAGAACACGACCAAAAAGCAGCGCTACCAAATGAAATAAGAAAAAGTCGAAATAAGGCTCGAAGCAGCAAAAACGGCTACGTGTGGCATTCGAATCAGCGCACTAGCAAATTTGAGTCTAACGCACTAACTATTCATTCACGGATGCTTAAAATCCCCAAAGACTAGCCACCAATAACGCAGCTACATATGCTAATAAATTGCCAATTCGATGCAGCAAAAGTAGCACCAAATAGAAAAACACGCAATTTTTTATGTAATAAATTAGAAAGCATAAAGCCAAATTAAGTATGAATTATGAATTTCAAAAAAATTGCGAGATACATTGAGTTGCAAAACTTCTGTAACCGAGCTTTTTATCATTGTACTGCTGTTTGAAACAATGACTTTTTTCGGCTCATTAGATGAATTAAAAATGCATCAGCTGTGTTAACTATTTACTAATCAAATTTCAAAGCACGTAGGATATTATACTGCTACCGCAGCCTACCGATTCAAAAATGCCACCAAAAGAAGCACTTTTGCTATTTAGCTTTAAAAAAAAGAAAGTTCGTAATAATACACTTTGCTTCGCAAGTGTAAAAAATATGCTATTAAATTGTTGATGCTCCCTATAGCTGAAAATTTCCACAATTATTTGTGACTTGGTTTGAAGAAAAAAGAAATTGCTTCGAAGTATTGCAATACGCTCTGCATGTGTAAACAGAACTGGTATTTGGAATACAGACATGCTCAAAATATGTCCGCTGATTGACGGAAAGGCAGAATTGAGAAAATGATTCAGTGATTCTGTTGGACAAATTGTTTACAAGAAGTCCATTTTCGATTTCACAATGCTTGCTAATCGCGAGCATGATCGTCGCATGCGTTATTATTTTGTACAATTTAATCGACGATAGAAAAATTGAAAAAGAAATCTTTTTTATCAGAAAAAATTCGTCAGCTGAAGTCTTATAACTCAATCACCTCCACCAAAGGCATTAAAATCTGAACCTTGAAAAACAGCCCGTGCTACGACAGCTTAGCCGAAAAAAATAAGTATAGCCAACAGGCAGCTAGAAAGAATCAATGAATGAAAAAAAAAGAGCTAGAAAGAATCAATGAATGAAAAAAAAAAGAAAAAAAATTGACTTTCGAATTTCAAAAAAAATATGGCCCTTAAGCTCTTTGAATTCTCAGAACAATTTAGCCCCAATACATTGTAGTCTCAAGCATGTGTGTTACCTCTACGTGAGATGTCCTGGATTGTTCATTGAACTTGAATTTCTTATGAAGCAAGTTCAAACACGTGTAATTCTTGTGAACAAAATTCTTTGCAAACAAAATCTAATGCCCGGCTGCAACACTCTTGTTTATCGCAACGGGCAACGAAACTCGATAACCGAAATATAAAATGAACAATTTAAAATTAAATTGATGTTTCACTTCTTCTTTAGCAGTGATTACTTTGCTCCGAATATTCTGTTTTAACTGCACGCCAACCGGTTACTATCGTTTTATCGTAACGCATTAAACCGAATAAACGCAGTCACTAGTCGATAAAAAGTCACAGGGAAAAATATTGCTAATATATTTAACTACACTTCTACAATTCATTTCAAATTCCAAGTCACATATAATGATGTCACATGAGAAGTTGAACAACGGATAAGACGTCATTCGAAAAATTAATTCGCAAATATTGACCATCCAAAAAGCAAAGCAGTGAATGGGTACTAAGTTTAAAACTTAACCAAATCAAATTTGCGCACCCTTATTTAGGGTAAAAATTAAGAACACAAATAAATTACATTGATATTACTACAATATATTCTCTGTATCTCAATTCAATTATAGCAATTAACTCTACGGATCGGAGTTTGTCCTGTTAGGTGTGTCAAATAGGCATTAAAACTAGTTTCCAAAATATTATCAACAAGCTAACTTGAAACGTAATTTCGATAGATAAAACAATGCCATTATTTCATTGGCACAGAAAGAATTCCTCATTTCAATTCAAGAGATTCATTCTAAGAACGGAAGGGTTGACTGTTCATCAACTTTTCGAGACGCGATTTAAGTGCTGTTGATGTAAAATGTCCTTGACGATTTGGGTGTTGGGTGAAATTTCACTGCCGGCTGACGAGGGATGCTGTAAGCTGGGAACAGATAGAGTCGAGAATTTTTCCATGCAGTGATACAAATTGACTAGAACAACCATGTGGAACGGCAGGCAGGAACTTCTGTCAAACGAGTAAAATGGGTCAATATTTAACCAGGACAGCGAATTGTAACTTTCCAACACATGTCGAAGAACTGTTGTCGTATGCATTGAATCTAGTGGATGATTTTGCTCGTCATTCATTGAGGTTTTGATGTGAAGAGCAGCTTTAAGTGTTGCTGGATCTCTGAACTCGGCAAGAGGGTTCGCGGACCAGAACCAGGAGGGCAGTTGACCAGTGGGTGCTGTTGATACGTAGAAGCCCAGCGCCAAGGGCTGCTGCTGGAGGGGGTCCTTCGGGTCTCCTTCACTCAGAGGTAAAAACGCAGAGCACTGCGCCTAAAACAGAAAAAAAACCCATACTTTTATAAATTCTGATCATCTAATAGGAACTAGAGCCGTTCATAACCAATCAAATTGAAATTCAAGCACTGTCCTACTTAAAAACAACGTACTTTTTTCGTAACTCCTCCGTTGCCTGAATTGTCATTTTCGAGACTGTCGGAAGCTTTATTGCCAGGAATGGTGTCCAATTCGTCCATGATCTGTCCGATGTCATTTTGTTCTTCGTCGATGAAGTTGAATAGTTCACTCAAGTTGTCCAGTTCATTCGGCCCTGGATTCATCTGCGGCGTGTTAGAAGCCAGCTGCAAGCAAAATATATGCATGTTATCAATTTTCCCTTTTCAAAATGTACGTGTTTTTTATCCGATGTATTTTTTCTCTTTCTAAGTAGTAGGCTATATCGGCTATATTTTACCCCAAAACAGAGGATCTATAATAAGACTTTAATAGTTACAGCGCAAAATTAGGGTTTTTGTGAGATACTTTTGGAGCATTCCTAATGAATTCTATCGCCGCAAAACTCAAGCAAAAGCAATAACGCTTTATTTCTTTAGTTTTCGGGCTTTTACTTTCAGCATCCATTTAACTGTTTGTTCAATTTCATTTCGGTAATAATAGCATTCTGAGAGATAAAAAAAAAACATTTTCAAAAAATATGCTGTCAATCTTTAGTGCTTTATAGGCGATAAACAGTTACTGCTGTCATTGAAATGGTGTTACTTGGGAGTTTGCTGAAATGGGGATGACGAGAACATGGGTGCAAGACACTTCTCTGGTGCCACTCAGTCCACTTATGAATGAGGACTGTCCAGATGAAGAACTGGAGAGCCCACTCCCTTTCTTACTGCTGCCACTCCCACTTGCCCCCGAGCCACCTTCACTTCCACTTCCCCCACTATGAGGATCTGAATTTACACAAAATAACCAATTACAACCAGGTGTTTAAGGACACATCGAATGAAGAACAAAAACATATTTCTCCGATGACATACTTGTATGGAGAAAACACAAAAATTTGATTTCAAAGAGTTGACAAGAGACGGGATAGATAAGCTTCAAGAATTTGTACTCCGCATTCAATCACAAGAAAATTTATAAAAATAATAAATAGAGAACTGACAAATGTACAGAACATTGATTGATTAATTGATGAAGTAAAAATAACATTGATATAATATGGACACAAAAACTATTTTATCTTTGACAGACTTCACATCTCAAAATCATACCAAAATTCAAGTATTGGCAAACAATTTTTCGCTTTAGATTAATTGATTTTATACAAAAATTTTTTTATAATAAATTGAGAAATGGACAGATTAGAAATAAATACTGTGAAGAAAGACGTTCAATATTACCCCAATTTTGCGTTTTAGATAAATTTTCGCAAGCTAAAATGGTTCAATCAATAACAATATATAGTAGGGGTTCTTTTTCTTCGATGATTGAAATAAAAATTCAAAGTTTCACAAACAAAGTTTCACATACAAAGGCGAGGCGAAAATTCGGAGAAAATCATAAAAAACGTGATATCTCGAAAACTACAAGAATTTGCGCAGTCATACTTGGCGGCTAAATTCGCAACTCCTGAGAGTACCCTGACAGAGCCTCACTACAGAGATGGTAATTTCAAGTTTTGTGGAATTTTTTATATCTAGTTTTCTTAAAAAATTTGAAAAAATCCAAAAAAACGTCATATCTCGTGAGCTACAAGGATTTGAGCAGCCATAATCAGAGGCTAGATTCGCAACTCTGAGAGTACTCTCACAATATCCAACAACAGGATTGAGATCTTCAACGTTTTGAAATTTTTAAAATCTAATTTTTTGAAAATTTTTTGAAAAAAGCATAAATAACGTCATATCTCTAAAACTACAAGGATTTGAGAAGTGAGAATTGTAGGCAAGATTCGCAACCCCTGAGAGTACCCTGGCAGCACCCAACTACAGGGTGAGAATATCAAAAATTGAGAGACTTTTTAAAATTAAATTTTCTGGAAAGTTTTAAAAAAATCTCGAAAATTGCCTATCTCGTAAACTAAAAGGATTTGGTTAATCATATATGGAGGCCAGAATTGCAGGACCTGGGACATTTTTTACAATTTCCCACTATTGGGTTGCTATTTTCAAACTTAAAAAAAAACACTGAGTTTAAACTGGAAAATCAAAAAAAAACCTTAATCATTGCAATATACGATATAGCTTAAACGTTAAAAAAATTCTTTCGTTAAACTTGCAAAAATAAAACGTTGAAAAAGCTTAAACATGGCAAGATAGTGAAGCCCGACTTTAAATATACAAGAGAAGAGATGAAAGTTAAAAAAATTCTGCGACGGGTAGACAGACATAATCAAATTAATTTAAAAAGCAGGTATACAGACAGACAGACTTAATTTGGCCTCGAAAAAAAATACTGAAAAATTAATGACCTTGTAGAAAACTAATTGATACATTTTTTTAAGCGTTGCAATATATGATATAACTTAAACATGAGAAAATTCTTACGTTAAACATACAAAATTATTATGCTTAAACATGGGAGATAGCTGTCACTCGCATTTAAATATAGTATAGATATAGATAGATAGATGACCTAAAGCATAGGAAGAATTCAGGCTAAATCCAGATCTAAAATTTCCCAAATTTTCGCAACAACATGGCTCAAAAACTTCAAACCTAACAGCCTGCATATCCTACAAGAACAATTGGCTACATAGAGGCGAAGCTGAGCTTCGCATCACTTGCGAAACAACTAGATCTATCAAAATGAATGAAAAAACTTTTAAACAGGCCCAAACAATAGAACGCAAAATCAGCATCGGAATAAAAGTAACCAGGCGGTAACAAAGCCAAAAGTACCTGACCCGAAAATTATCAGGACACTTTCTAAAACTCAATCCTAATTATAAATATTCGAGTCCCTTTTGCCCTCATAATACACAAAAGCACGCAAAACATATTTTCCGCACATCAAACGAGGCAAAAAGAGGCTACTAAGCCGATATAAACACATAGGCGAAGCTGCACTTCGCAAACACAAGCAAGAACTGGACCAAAAAGCAGCTCTATTAAATGAAATAAGAAAACGCAGAAATAAGCCTCGAATTAGCACAAACTGGGCTACGTGTCGGATTCGAATCTGCCCTCATAATACACAAAAGCACGCAAAACATATTTTCCGCACATCAAACGAGGCAAAAAGAGGCTACTAAGCCGATATAAACACATAGGCGAAGCTGCACTTCGCAAACACAAGCAAGAACTGGACCAAAAAGCAGCTCTATTAAATGAAATAAGAAAACGCAGAAATAAGCCTCGAATTAGCACAAACTGGGCTACGTGTCGGATTCGAATCTGCGACCTAACCACTCATTTAGTGCGTTTGACGCACTAACCACTCATTCACGGATACTTAAAATCCCCAAAAACAGCTACATATGCTAATAAATTGCCAATTCGATGCAGCAAAAGTAAAACCAAATACAAAAAGACACAATTTTGCAAGTAATAATTTGGAAAGCATAAAGCCAAATTATGTAGAAATGCTTTTCAAAAAATTGAGATACAATGAGTTGAAAACTTTCTGAAATCGAGCTTTTTTTATTGTGCTGCTGTATGAAACAAACAAAAAAGTTTTCGGTTCATTTGATGAATTCAAAATGCAACAGCTGTGTTAACTTTTTACTGATCAAATGTCAATGATATTATACTGCTATGATATTATACTGGTACCGCAGCTGACCCATTCAATAGTTCCACTAAAAGTAGCAATCTTATTTGCTACTTAGGTTAGAAAAAAATAAAGTTCGTACCATACGCTTTGCTTGGCAAACAAGCTGAAACCTATGAAGCCGGAAAAAAAAAACGTAAACAAATTTCAACAAACCGAATAATAAAAATACCACCAACTTAAAAAGTGAAGGAATCGTAAAATTTGTCTTTCCCTTGAAACAACTCAAAATTAGGTCATGAGTCCGATAAAAAAAATTGGCCGAAATAATTTGGGCCAAAAATTTTTTTTAGAGGAACAAAACATAGCTAATCGAAGATTGGAAAAGAGTAATGAATGCAACAAGTAAACATAAAAAAACAGTCTTTCCTGAAAAAATCTCAACTTTCGAATTTCAAAGGAAAAACATAGATGCCCTTTCAGCTCTTTAAGTTTCTAGAACAATTTATAAATGTCGCTTGATTGATAACATTAACAGAGCTAGAGAAAACTGGATCAATAGGGAAAGTTTTTATTCCGCTGGAAATTCAACTACGTTCATTACTCATTAAAAAAGAAATACGAAGTCAAGGTACGAAAAATACAAAATTGAAGGAGCATCAAATACTAAAAGCAACCTTTAAGAAAAATGCGCGCAACAAAAAAAACGTTTCCAAGATGTGGCAACTAAGCCGACAAAAGATAAGCTCAAATAATTGGCCGACAATTTTATGTGATAACAGAAAACGTTAAGAAACCAGGTTCTGGTCAGATTCGAATCCAGGACCTCTGCCGTCTCAGGCGTATTCGTTACCTCAAGGAAAAGTGGGCCGGGAACTCTAAGAAATTTGAATTAATTACGAAATAAGGTAGTTGTAGAGATGAGTCCAGAAAGGACATGTGAAGTAAGTTGCTCATTAGTGCCCGATTGCGATAATCTTGCTTATCGCAGAGGTAATAAACATCAACAGGAATATTTGCTATAAATTGAGATGAAAATGAGAGAATTTTTTTTTTAAATATGAAAGCTTCAGATTCAAACGATTTCCATAAAAAACTTGCAGAAAATCTGGAAAAAACTTGATACGCAACGTTGAGAGAGCTGGATTAAAACAAAAAAATATATAAAACTAAGACAAATATTCCCGTAGAGGAAGTAAATCAAACTCAGATTTTTTCAAAAACTTCAGCCAGAAAAACCTCACTCTTGAATATAAAGCATTAATTGCCACATATCTTCGAAGACGAACCATTCAGGTCAAAATTGCAAAACAAAACTGTTCAAAACTTTTCATTTTTTTTCAAATAATCTTGATTTACGAAAACAATACGCTATGCCATCAAGAAAAATCGATTTCAAATAAAATTGCCAAATCCTATAACACCCCCAATAAATCAAATCTATAAAGACAACATACACTTTTATAGTATTAAAATTAAATCAGGAGCCTTGCACCAGAAAAAACTGAATAAGGAATGAAAGTTTTCAAAATCTAAAAGCATGAACTATATTTAGCCACTGGAAATACTTTTTCAAATACTGAAAAAAATACAAGAACAAAAAATCCGCCTAGAAATCCGACAAAATCGGGACGAAATCATTAAGCCGACAAAAAATCAATTTATATCGGAAAATTTTTTATCATCCAGAGGGGAGCATAAAAATTATGAGCATAAAAATTAAAATGCCTCAAAATTAGGTCACTACGCCGATAAAAAAAATATCAAATCATTTGGGCGCAATGAAGTTTTTAATCAAAAAAAATAAACGAAGTCAAGGGTAATACTTTCAAACAGCAGAAGTAAATCAAAACGCTAAAAGCAAACACACTGTAAATTACGTAGAGCAGAAAATTCTATAAGTGGCAACTTAGCCGACAAAATATAAGCGGACAAATAATTAGCCGACAACTTTTTTGAAACGCAATATTTCCCATTTGAGCAAAAAAAAAAACAAATCCCGGTCATATTCGAACCCAGGACCTTTACCGTCTTAGGCGTATTACTTACCTCCAGGCCAAAAGGTAACGCAAAAAAGTTTGAATTCATTATAAACAACCTAAATAATTTCCCAATTCTAACTTGATTTTTCTGTGAATAAAGTTTTTTACGAGGGGAAAAAGTATAGTACACAAAGGCATTCATGTAGAAAAAATTCTTGTATCCAAGGGTAATTATATTTAAATTCTTGCTGCCAGGGGTTGTTTCATCTAATCTTTTGGCCGTAATGTTCTGACAATTAATCTTAACCCGAACCAAAATCTCATTCTCAGCAACCTGCTCTTAGTTACTCAAATTCTACTAGAATACCGCAATAAAAACCTTCATTTAACCGATATGTAAGCAAAACTGCACGCAGATTCCGATCACATAAGCACAGAAATTGAACACAGAAATGTGCCTTTCTTTGAGAATAGTTGGTCATACACCAACACCAAGCTTAGCTTTTGTACTGAAAACAACTCATAGAACCAGCTGCGAAAAAAAGTTTGTTCGAGTGACGTAGATTTAGATTTTTTTGCCAATTGCGAATTGATACCGTCTGTGAACATATGTGTTTCGAACATTTATGGCCAAACAGTTTTCCAAAACACAAAAAAAATGTCCAACACATTTGTTTACTAGGCAAAACAGTCCAAAAATTGTCTACGAATGTCCTGATAATTGACCCACTAAAACATAGCCAACAGAAGGCAATGAACGAAAAGAAAACAACTGACTTGTTTTCGAAATTCAACTTTTGAAATTCAGAGTACAACAATACGGCTTTAAAATTCTTTGAATTTCAAGAGCAATAAATGATTGACAGCTTTTTGAACAAAAAAAAACAGTTTCAGAAAACGAGATCAATAGCTGACGTTTTCATTCTTCTGGGAAATCAGAAAACAAAAATTCACTTTCAAAACTAGAAGTCGATCAAGTTTTTGTGAGCTTAACATTTTTGCTGTTCGATAGTGGAGATCTGAACTTGAAATGAAATCAAAAGTCAAACGCGAAAAATCAAAAAATGAAGGTCACTTGAAAAATCAAGTGCTGCAAAATTATATAAAACGCGTTCAATATTATATATTCTATATGTGACCCTGTCTGACGCTTTACAGTACTATCTCGTATTGCTATGCTAGATTTACAAGCAACGTTGAAATAATTAATATCTTCATTAATTAAATTTTCATAAAACCCAAAAAAACTATTGGAATTTTAACAAGAGCCCTTTTGTGGGCAGACAATTCGAGCTTTGTTAGATCACAACTTATATAGGAGTCACCGTTTCTCAATAACAAATGGGATGATCTGACTAGTCTTTAAAGGAGAAAAATCAATTAGAAAAGGCGACGCAATTATGCCAATAGATCCGAAGTTTCATTGCGTAGATAAGAGACAAAATTTAACACAGGCGAAGCTGAGCTTCACACCACTTGCGATACAAATACGAATGACTAAGAAAATCAGACGGAAAAAAATCAAAAGTAGTTTTTGTCAAAAAATATTGAAACCGAGGTCCAAAATATCCGAAACAAAATTGGCTGCATCATCAGAAATTCTTCAAAGAGCTTTGGCCATGCCAAAATTCTCTATTTGAATGAAAAACAGATCTCAACTGGAACCGTACTCCCGGGCTTTGTCGTCTCAAGCATGGGGATTACAGCAACTTGGAATAAAGCTAAATGAGAGTTACGGGAACTAAGCCGACAAATACAAACAGACGGACGAGCACAAAAACTCTAGCTTGCAAAAAAGGGACCAGCCGGATTCGAACCGCAAATCTTTCCGCCTCAAGCAGTTGTTTTACCTCTACGCCAGATGCGCCGGATGTTTGATTGGATTTGAATTGATAATTACCGAGCGATAAAAAGCCGAAAAAATCTGAGCGAAAACCCTTCATGCCGATAAAAAATTCTAAATATAAACAACTCCCCCTCAGATCGCACACACGAGCACAAAACTTTTTTTGGTCGTAAAGACGCAAAAAAGGTCACTGGGTTGATATTGATTAGGCCGAATTTTATTAAGCCGATTTAAAAAAAAAAGAAAAAATGGAAATTTTAACATATCGAGCTGGTAAAATAACAACCAATGTGAAAAGCAAAATTCGATTCGGCCGGTTTTTAAAAAGCTTAAGAAACTGCAGTGAAAATTGTTTACAGCTAAAATAAACGATTATTCGATAAGGCAACTAAGACGACAAGCCATAAGCAGAAAAATTAATATGTATGAATGCACCTCTGTAGCTTAAAAACTTTTCCCCAAAAAAAATCACCATGACCCATTAAGAGTCTGAACAACGATCATTGACTCTTACAAAAACACGGAAATGAACCCAGGAAACTAGAACCAAAACCAGGAATTTTAAGTAGCTCGATAATAATTTAACAGATATATCACTTACATTTTCAAGAAACTTTCCATTCCTAAATTTACCATTCACTCGGAAAAAAAAGTCCAGAACCCGATTGCAATACCCTTGCTATCGCAAAAGTAACAGGGCTCAAATCATTTAAACATAATTAAAAAATTTTTCGTGAATGATGCTTATGCAAATGAAAACCCTTATGACAAAATTGTAAAACGAAGCGCTAGATCATGATATATACATATACTTTCAACGACGCGTTCTATGCACTTACTGAGACAATTCTTAAAGATAATTCCCAACCAATATTGAGAAACAGAAACTCTGAACAGCTCTTGAGACACTAGCAGTTGTTGCAGATGAGCCATGTCAACCAACTCTCTCAGCGCAGACATAATTAGCAGCAGTAATCCCAAACAATTCAGCCAACCGAAGAACCATCAGCAGATAAAAGCCGGATAAACGGCCCAAAATGTAGAAACAAAAAATCTTCAATTGAATTTGAAATTTTATAAAAAATTTAAAATGACAGACAGTGGAGAACTTTTCCGTCATTTTGACTCTTTACCTGATGGTATGAAATAAATAATGGCTCTTACCAAAGCAACTAGATTTTCACAATATATTTAAATCATTAGTCACTGTATAATCACTCGCAAAACAAACCAGAACAAAGAAAGTTAATTGTTGGAGCAATGTTTGATGTAAAGTGGTAAGTCAATTACATCCATCACAGAAATTTTTGAGTAGCGCACACCAACGTCTATGAAACATATGTAAATTTTTCGAGCAACGTCAAAAACTTTGGAAAACTTGCGAAACAATAAGAGGGCTGTCGAAAATATTACAGTCTCACCATATCAAAAGCAATCGTTTGATTTTTCGGTTTTAAAACTCAGTCACGAAGTCCAGTCGAAAAAACAATTTCAGCTTTTTTCGGCTTTTCTTATTTTCAACGGGGCAAATTCAAGCATAATTCACTTTTCAAATGACCAAAACACCACATCAGTGCCGCACATTATACACAGGCGACGCGGAGATTCAAACAAACACAGAAACATAAGTCGTAAAAAAACGTTGAAAAAAACTAGGAGAACCAAATCTTTTTTATGTCTCGAAAAAAGATAGCTAGGGTCTAAGATAAAGCTAGAGTTAGGGTGCAAAAGCGACCGCGTTATCTCCAGGCGAAGTGGGAAGGAACCTGGAAGTTGTTAAGGTTCAATGGTTTCAATTTCTTGTACGAAAAATTGTTTACGAGATAAAAAAAAAGTCTAGTTCCCGATTACATGACACTTGTCCCCTCGGAAACTTGTCATTGAAGATGCCGGATATTCTACCGTCTCTCCTTGAAATTTTAAATCAAGTTTTGATCACAGTGTCAGAAAATCCTCAGGCGCGCGGTGAGGCTATAATGGTAGGGGAAGCGGTAGAAGAGCCCAGATATTTACCATGGAATAATTGGAGATGGTTCGCAGATTCCAATGAGACTAGACAGACGGAGAGGATGGAGGCACTGCACGTGTCTCCCTGCAGTTTGCATGTGGCACACAACTGCTTCAGAGATTGCGAGTACTTGGTCAATGAGGGCTTGCTCAGCATTATGTGCCAATCTACAATTTAGAAAACATGTCTCACCTGTTTGTAACACAAAAATGTCATATTTTTCTCAAAATCGAGCAAAGAAGCTAACCAAATGCTTTGCTTTTCGAAGTAAAATTTTCGCCTAAATTTAAAAATCGCAGATCTATAGAGCAATAACCTTTCACTTCGCCATGGCCAAGTCGGCCAAACCTTCCGATGACCACTCTCCAGGGCATTGCACTTTTGGACAGAATAGACAACACATACTCCCACAGCTTCTCCAAGCCCGGACCCCTTCTCTCAGTAGTCTGTTTAGAAGCTGCCGCTTTCTTCCTATTATTCGCACTCGACGCAGTACTGCGCTCAACATTTATAGTGTTCACATGTAAAATATGGCCCACGAGATCCGTGCATGTCACAAGAATCCATCGATGGTCATGTGACAAGCAGTAAGTCACAAAGAGAACTTTACAGTCCTGGCCTGGAAGTGTGGAACTACTGGACGTCAAACTCTCTCGGAAGCTTAATTCTGGAATTGTCTGGAGGGTCTTGTGGGATGCAGAACCATTAGTATCCACTCGTGTCGGTGTGAGAACGTATGGGGGTGTAAATGTAGTAGTACGGAGACCATACTTGGAACACGTATTTCCCCTGTCGGCTGAAGGACCAAAACTAGTTAGTGACTTGCAAGGCACAAGGCGGAGTAAGTTCGTACTGCACTTGGAGTAAATAGAAAAGCAATATGACTTGAGAAGCTTTCTGTTCATTGAGTAGTTCCGCCAACTTGTGAAAGAAGCTATGGTGGAGAGAGGTAGAATCTGCAATACGCATTTCTGCTGAATATGTTCGGGCAAGCTATCCACTATCGTCTGGAACGTTTTCAAACACGCTAAAGATGCTGCAATTGAGGCGTTGGACGGACTAGACCTGCTAGTATTCATATGGGCAAAAGGGTCAACCATGTATATAACAAGAGTACTGGGTTGCGTTTTGCTGCCAAACGGTCCACCGGATCCTGAGTTTTCTGATGAGCTAGAATGAGTTTGAGAGTTGTTTTCAGTCTTGATGTTGGGCGAGTGATTAGCACCGTATGGTTCTTTAAAAGACGAGCCTACGCTTTGATACCTGTAAATACAAGTTTTTTCAATAAATTATCTTTTCATCCAATATCTACTATTGCACTCATGCAAACCTGCAAATTTAAATTTATTATAGGATATATCTGCGCTTTCATACACACGGATCCAAAATTTGCCTCAAAATTACTATTTAACCACTTGGATGAACATTATTTGAGCGCTCAAATAATGGACATTCGGCCCTTCTGCAAATTGAAAATGTTTATTTCAGTGGAAGGATTTTACAAACCCATTTTGCACTTCGCCACTCCTGTAATTGTTATTCAGAGCGCTTCCATTGTCTCCGCCGTTTCCGAACTCCTCCTTGATTACAACTCCATCGCCGCTTTGAGATGCATTTCTCTCTCCATTCAGAGTCGACAAGTAGCTAGCACCAGGCTCAAAATTAACCTGTTCGATCACATTTTTCAACTGCGACTGGCAAGAAGCGACGAATGAAAGCAGTTTTTCTCTACACTGCGTGCTATTGGCTAATGAGTTCCACCAATCCGGCTCAGCTCCCAGAGGCATCTGAGAAAACTGCCCGGAGGGCTCCTTCTTTTCGTTTGAAACCACGAAAATGCCCGACCTCTGGTACAACAAGCCTAACTCGGGTCCACACATTTGGGCAGGCACATGCAAACCCATTTGACTTGTCTAAACAATTTATAATAATTACAACCTGAAACCGGCTTGAACTAATTACTAGCTGACTGATAGTAATTTTATTTGATGTTTCAAGTAGTGAAATTCCTCTAGAAATTGTCCACAGGATCTTCAATTCTAGAAGTGAAGATCCTGTGGACAAAGCCGTTTACAAGAAAAAAAAATCTGCGGAAAAAAGTTTACGGTAAAGCTTATCGCAATGGCAATTAAGGTGTACAACCTCTTATGCATGTAAAAATTGTTAAATACACTCTCCAAAATCCTTGTCCATATGAAGACTGATGCTATTATGTTTTACCTGGTAGACGGAGGATAGCTCTTTGAAAAACTTCTCTGCACAATCTATGATTTCACGGTCATCAGGGCACACTGCAATGTAGAAGATAGTCCGGCTTCCGCTGAACGGCTCCAGTACCAACTTATCCTGAAACACCATTATGTTCAAATTAATTGGACCCTTTAACTTTCGAAATATCCGAACATAGAGGCTAAGCAGAGCTGCATTTCAAAATAGTGAATGAAAAAAAGACAGAATTTCTTTCTGAAAAATTAAGTTGAAAAAATACTTGAAAAAAATCGAACCAACTATACCTAGAAATAATTCATGATTGCATCGGATGCTGTTCATAAACATCCTTAAAAAGCAAAGAATCCTTTACTGAGTGGTAAAAAAGGCGAAAAATTTTGGGTCGAATCCGTTGAGCCGAAAACAAAACTATTCAGGCGAAAAATTGTGATAAAAAAATTTAAAATTTAAAAGTCTTTACGACCCATCCGTACTGAAATACATAATCGCATAAGAATACATTTTCCCTCAAAATTACAAACTATTGCCGATATAGCATAAACCAAAACCGTTAAACCAAAAAAAAATGTTCAAAAATCAGATTCAAAAAATTTATATATTACTGAACTTTCAATTTTAGTAATAACTGTTTAAATTTTAAAAAATCCGTGCTTTACAAAGTGAGCCGACACAAAACCGTAGCAGATAAAAACAAATAGAATCTTTAAAACATCAATGGACAGTTGGAAAAGAGTCAAGAAACGCAACTGATTGATTTTTTGAAAAAATCTCATTTCGAAATTCAAAAAAAAACATAGATGCCCTTAAATCTCTTTGAATTTCCAGAAAAATTATGATGGCTTTTTATGGAAACTGTAGAGTGAGATAAAATTTTTATTCCACTTTCGAAACTAGAAATCGGTCACGTATTTTCTCGCACATTTGCTCTTTCGTATGCAGAAAGCGAATTTTGCTGCTTTTCGCAAATGGACTTGAATTGAACTCAAAAAAAGTACATATACCTACGGGCATTCATATATGCATTAATATGTATGAATGCACCTCTGTAAAACATTAGAGCTTTAAGACTTTTCCAGAAAAAAAATCATCATGACCTATATAAGAGTCTGAACAACGCTCATCGACTCTTCAAAAAAAACGAAATGAACCGAGGAAACTAGGACGAAAACCAGGAATTTTAAGTAGCTAGATAATAATTTTACAGATGTTTCGTTTAAATTTTCAAGAAATTTTTAATTCACTAATTGACCATTCTTTGACGGGGTAAAATGTCTAGAACCCGATTGAAACATTCTTGCTGATCGCAAGGGTAATAAAAAAGACAAAAGGATATTTTCCTATTCTAACAATTAGGCCTAGTGGAATGGAGCAGAAACTCTTTTTATTCAAATAGTTTTGTGATAAAAACAATCAGTAAAACTTTCGTGGAAAAAAAAACATTTGTTAATGTGAAAACGTTTGCAAACATCTTTTCTTTTTTAGTTCATGTTGCTTTCATGTTCATATATTATAAGATCATCCACTGCTTTTTTTCAACTTACCCAGTGAGAAAGAGCGAACGGTGACACTGATGTATTGTAGTATTCGTTTGTGGCCACCATTAAGGAGGGAACAGGCAGGGGTTTCAGGTCTTGTGGGGTATATACTCCTCCACCAGAGTGCTTGTAAAACTGAGCCCAAGTGAGCGGACCATCCGACTTGATCACACAGTCAGCGGTCAGTGTCGAGCACACCTCTTTGATCTCCCGTCCGATGTTAGTAACTGCAGACGCCATTGCCTTGGACAGGAGTCCTTCTGCCGTGTAGACAATGGAATGATCTCGTTGCAGCAGCCAGTCGTCAAAGCGCAGCTTTTTGATGTCTATTGCGGATGCAGCTGCAGGGTCCTCGACCGTAAATTTTGAGAAATGGATTGCCTCTTTAATGCTCAGGCGACCATCTAAAACGATCAAAAACCTCAATTTTCAGCCAACAAAATTTGCATAACCATTTTGCCAATTCGATCATAACCTTTGTATGTAAATCATTAACTTGAAATTATGTAATAGTTTTGTAAGATTTTGTAAAATATTTGAATAGAATAAAAAATTTCTTAGCTTGGTCTTTCCTCTTTGCTATTTCGAATCTGATACTTCATAGTAGACATGACAACTTGCAACAAAACTAACCTAACTCGCGCTGTGTGAACTGCAATTTCCTTGGTTTTGGCCCTCTGTATAATTTTTTGTCGATACACAGAAGGTTTGCGAGGTTGAACTTGGGCAAAAGCGAGCAAGTTGACCTGAGCTGCTCGCTTATGAGATTGATCAGACTCTGACTAGACTGCCACGGCAACAGCGTTTTGTCTTTCCTGTATGATATTCGGTTTACCACTTCGAATTCATCTTCTCCGAAAAGTCCGGCGCCTGCTGCCAGATGCCGATTTCTCAACGCGCTGAAGCCACATTCACAGTCTGCGGTGACGTTGGCAGTGTCCAGGGCTAGAGGAGTCCCACTTAAGTACAAAGAGGCGTCTTTACTCTGGATGGTGAGGTTGCAATTGCAGATGACACAGCTGTCAAAGTTCACGTCTGTGAATATGTAGAGAAGACTGTCTGAGAGGTAGAGGTTCACTAGGAGGCTGTGAGTGCCTCCTAGACTGCTCATAGATGCGGGTGGTTTCATTGTACTGCAGGATAAGGGTCCTATTGAGGCGTACCCACTGCTTCCATACATCCCAAAGGGAGTCCTAGCCAGAGACTGGCACGACAGGGGTGAATTGATATCGTTAGTGAGGGCTCCGTGGCTAAATGGGGCTCCTACTGCACTCACAGATCCACCGGGTGTGTTCACTGGAACACTGTGGGGCGTTGCGGGAGATTGACTGTATGCAACACTCAATGGAGTTGGAGCGGCTGTAAGACAGACAGACAGTACAGACTTAGATCCATTAAAACCACAAGACAGCTCATACCAAAACGAAGCCAGGAATATCCTGACTTAATATAAAACTTTTCTAAACAGTCTCTTAAAAACTTTAAGATTATCTTCTGCTTGTAGATATTAATTGATACAATTTTGTGATTTAAGCCAGGAAAAAATCGCTGAAAGACCACCCGTGCCAAATATAGTTTGCACTTTTTACGAATATCAAAGCAATAACCTTATCCATCCACTAAGTTTCTAGCAGCTTTGGAAAAATAGGTTTCACTTCAAAAGTCGAGACCTAACTAAATTCCAAGTTCTGCAGAGCAGGAGGTTTACTCACAGCCAAATTGGACAGAAGTTTGTTCGTGGCTGTGCAAGCTGGTGGTTGGCATCGGGGTAGATGAAGATACAATTTCGTTTGCGCCCGGAGAGCACGCCACATTCTTCGACTTCCCATGTAATTCCACATTAGCCTGATTCATCAAACCAGTTTTACTTTCCATCTCCATCATTAATTTGCGATTCCGTCCGACACAGTAGCTGAATTTCTTCGGTTTAAGCAGTGCCGAATCGCTTGTTAAGTCCCATTTTCTGCGCTTGGCCTGGCTAGCCAATGACATAATGCCCTGTTGGATAGGCGAGGAAAGATACAATTTGTGATAACTGTCAGACTGCTCGTATGAAGCCATCCGATCCACATTGACTATAAGTGTCCACGAATCTTGAGTCAACTGAAAAATTGTCAAGACATCAACCTTTATACAGAGGCCAATCAGAGCATAGCACACAAACATAGCATTACAGTTTAGAAGACAGAAAATGAAAGGAACGCCACTTGAGTCGAAAAAAAATTAAGCATAGCCACAGACAGATGATGAAAAAGAGTCAATGAACGCAGGTAAACTATAACAGACCGTTTTTTTTATTTAATAAATTTTGAATTAAATAGAAAAAAAAGTAGCTGGCCTTGAAGCTCATTAAAAAGTAGAACAATTTTTTATTGACAATTTTTCGATAAAATTAACCCAAGTAACATCTTTTAGGTAAGATATAGGTAATATTTTTATTTGGCCGCGTTCAAAACGAGGTCGATCACATGTTCAAAACGAGGTCGATCACGTTTTTTGTGACCTTTACATAACTGCTGCTCAATAGACGAGTTTGCCTTTCTTTTAACAATGGAAATTAACTCAAATGAAATCAAAAAGTCGAATCGCAAAAAAAACATCATCTTGACCTATACAAGAGCCTTCATTGGCTTCATCGACCCTTGCAAAAGCACAGAACATTTAAAATTTTGTCTCGATTTACACTCAAACTGAGAAAAACACGGGGAAAAAACCTGCAAGAATACAAAAAAAATCAGCCCTATAAAAGCAATAAAAATAAGTAGAAATAAGCCTCGAATTAGTAGAAAAAAATTCGGCTACGGCTCGGATTCGATCTGCGACCTAACGATTATGCGTCTAATGCACTTAACACTCAGCCACGGACGCTTAATAAATCACAAGCACTAGCCACAGCTAAGGCAGAGAACAGATGCTATGAAAATTCCAATGCTACAGATCGTGATTATAGCAAAAGTGCCACCAAATGAAAGAAAACTTTTACTTAACACTTTTATTGCGAGTTAGGTTACAAAAAAGAAGATCCGTACTAACAAACCGCGCTGCTATTCAAATTTATTCTGAACTTTTTATGGGCGAAAACTAAGTCGGGTACATTCACGTTGGGTACATTCCCGTTGAGCCGAAAAAAAATGTAATCTTGATAAAAAATTTTTGAAAGTTCTGACTTTTTATGCTCCCTCCTCAAGGAACACAAACATCAGTTTTTCCCGTGAAATGATGCAACAATCAAAGACTAAGCTAACTGAGTCGCCCAAACAATTGAGTCTTCAAGTGAGATAAGAAAGAAATCACTTTTAAGACATAAATTAAAACAAAGAAATTTGCATCGTGCACGAAAAAAATCCATGAAGGGGCAACTAAACTAACAAAAGAACTGCAGATAAAGAAAAGTCGACAATTTTTATTGAAATAATAAATGAAATAAAAACCTTTTGAAAAAAAAACAGGTCCTGACCACCAACTCAGGCCATTGGATCCTAGAGCAATTGATTTTCCTTTAAAGTACGTTTTCTAACTAAATCATTGCAGATAAGAGGTTTGATAGAACCCCCTTCAAATTTGAAAAAAAAACTGTTTGCAGGAGAAAAGTCTAGTTCCCGGTTTAAGACACTTACCCTCGCCGCAATGGTAACAAGACAGCAGCACCACTAAAACCATTTGACATAGCAATAAATCATCTAATCAATGCCTGTGATTAGATGACTTATTGCTATGCCAAATGGTTTCAGTGTGTTGTTTTTAAATTAAAATAAAACATAGCCAATAGAAAGTTGCAAAAAAGGCAATGAACGCAAGAAACCGAAAAAAAATGAAAAGATTTTTTTGATAAAAATAAATTAATTTTCAATATGTGATGCAAAGCTGCGCAACGCAAATACAAGCAAACAAACACCAAAAAAAGCTTCAAAAGAGTCAAAAAAGAAATTAAAGAAATGAGTTTTAAAAAATAAAGGACCTCAATGTGAAATAATCCTCAGTCCTCGGACATTCAGGTTTTCCAGTTGGCTCTACTGCTCAGTTGTCTCAAGGAGGCTTAATAAAACCAAAAACAAGCAGCGAAGGCAGCTTCAAAGTTTACAAAAAACATAAATTTGGCATGTAAAAAGTTAGAGTGTAATAAGCTTAAGGCAACCACAATTAATTTGCACATAATACATTTGAAAATTTTATTGCCAAACTGTGTATAAATTATGCAGGTCAAAAATCTCGCCACAAATACCCATATAGAAAAACACTGAAAACGAAATTTAATTATTAGAATGTTATTGGAAACAAATAAATTTTTTCGGTTCATTTGAAGAATTAAAACAAGCAACAATTGTTCTAACACCTTACTAATTAAATGTCAAAACACGGCATTATACTGCCAATACTGCTTTCTGCTTCAAAAGTGCTCCCAAAACAGCCCTTCTACGTTGGCAAAAATGCCAACAAAAGTAGCACTCTTATTTGCGACTTAGGTTGCAAAAAATTTCATCGTACTATCACATTACGCTCCGCTTATGTAAAATGAGCTTAAAGCTATTTGAATTTCAAGAGCAATTTATGATGAACACTTTTTCGGTAAATTACCCCGTTTTTGAGAAAACTGGATTAATAGCTCAACTTTCTAATGCGCTGGGAAATCTAAACATAGCCAGGAGACATTTGCAAAAAGTCAATGAACGCAAATAGGCAGAACAAAAAACTAACTTTTTTGAAAAGGGAAAAGTTAAAGGTCATTTTCGAAACTAAAAATAACCTTTATACTTGCCGGGGGGATTTAGGGGGGGGGACGCCTCCCCCCCCTCAGGGATTCGACCCCCTGCCGACCCAAAGGGTCCCCCCTGTGATACTTTTTCAGAAATTCATTTTTGGTCGACCGACCCTAAAATTTTTCTAAAGGCGCCAATATACACTAACTTTGAGGGGGAGCGCGCGCCAAAAAAAACGCGATTTTTTGTCAAAATTTTTCAAAAAGTGCCCAAAAACGGCTTTTTTGACTGTTTTCTCAAAAATTTGCCGGCGGCGCAGAAAATTTAGCCAAAATAGGGGCAAAACAGTGCTTTGGGAGAGCTCAAAAATCAATTTGGTCGACCTAAAAAAAAAGTCGTCAAAATTTTGAAAGTCAAAACGTGAAAAATCAAATTTGAGGCTGAACAATTTTTGACTTTTGCTGGTAATGAAAAACAAAAAATCATCACGACATATACAGCGTCTGAGTTACATTGATATAATCTTAATAATTTAAATCCACTTTCGGGAATAGAACGTGTTCACTAGTCTTCGCGCCATTTTCGCTTTGGTAATTAATGGGCGAAAATTTTTCGCTTTGGTAATTGATGGGCGAAATTTTCCTATCTTTTAGCAATTGAATTTTAAGACTTTTTCCGGGGAAAAAATCTTCGTATATGTGTATTCACTACGTTTATTGACGCTTCGTGAAGGAAACCATGCAACTCACTGTTTCTTTCGCTGATGGTGTACTGGAAATGTTTGAATTCATGCTGCAGTTGAGTGTCGAGTCCTGAATACTGGATGTGTTTCGCTCCATTTCGGGGACGACCAGCGTCCGCGTTTCCAGACCCGCTGCTGCTAGGAACATATTCATGCTATCGGCTGCCCCGACTCCTTGGTCTGAGATCCCATTCTGCATAATGATGCTTCCATAGCCATGCGTGAGTTTGCTGTTGTGTTCTGAAGAGGTTGCGTTGCTATTGTGTGTAAAAGGTGAGTTTGTAGCGTTTTGGGGCGATGAGGCGACGGTGGTGCCCACAGTGGAGCACATGTCTGGAGGGTTATTAGAGGGTGGGGTCGGAAACATCCTCGCCAGCTCTACGCTATCAGGTTGCTTCACTGATGGCGGTTGATGGTCGTGATCTCCATTGAAAGATGTCAGGTACTACAAAAAGTTGAAAATTGCTTTGTTACCTGGAAGAAAGGACGAAACTACCAAATGAATTCCTTAGTCATTTACAAATTGGTTCGGCAATTTCGTGCTTTGAAATACATTCACAGCTAATTTTCTACTACTTGCTTTGATCATGCTTGTTCTTTAAATATAAATAGATCGTTAAAAATCTGAGACAAAACTTTCACAAACCGATGAGTCTAAAATATTAGGAATATCTTCTTCGTCTGAAGACTCGAACGTGTTCTCCACAAACTCTGCTTTTGTCATTTCTAGAGATCTCGCAGTTGTCAGGCTGCCTCCAGGAGACGCCATCTGCTTGTTGTTCACTGATGCCTTCTGTTTACCATTCATGAGTCCAGCCAAGCTTAAATTAGTGCTTGTCTGTGCCATCGCAGGGAACAGGTTACCACTTCCGATGTCACTACCTGGTGAATCAGCCTCCTACACAAATGAAATTATTTAACAGTGAAAAAAATCACTGTAATTGCCTCTACATTTGCAAGGCAAGTAACCATGCAGCACCATAATTTTCTAAATTAATTTACCATCAAAAAGATGGTTTCTGATGTCATAGGGTCGTCAACAAGCATGCTGAAAGTTAAACTACTCACTTTTTGGGCAGTTTTCCTCTTCTTGGCAGTTTTCTTCAAACTCTGATTATTGGGATCTTTTCCTCTCCCAGTTCCGCGTTTACCTCCTCCGCCGCCGCGGCCCCTTTTAGCAGTACTCGATCCAACAGAGTCCGAGTAACTCTCCGTAAAGTCATGAAAATCATCGAAATCGTAGACGCTCCCGGAGACCTCAGATCCATACAGTTGCTGCTTGGATAACTCACATCCTAAGTCATTCAACCAATTAGCAGCAATATGGCCCGATGGTAAATCTGAGAAAGCCCTGTCCAAAACTGTCGTCGCACCTTTCAGTCGAGACAACTTAGGCAGTGTAGTATTTCGCTCGCACTCAGCTGGAACATTAACATTCAATGACACCGAACTAAACCTTCCAGTATAGAGGACTTTATTTCGTCCTTTATCTTCAGAGCTTGAACTGGTTTCCGCCAAGTTGTTAAGACGTTCCACTGATTTTTCCAAACCCGAAGGGGATGTTTTCTTGCTGATGTCTGTTGCTGGGCCGTCTGATGATGGTGGCCCCAGTAATTCATTCATGATGGGAAATGATGCGGGATCTATATTGTTTGTTCTTACGCTGAGTAGTTTTGATTCAGCCTGATTAGTTATTGCCGAAGTGATGTTGCCGGTGACTGAGCTTTTGTTTGGCGACATGGCTCCAAGTTCATTTTGCATTCTATTATCCGCTTGATTAGTTGTTGCGTTTGTTTTCTTCTCGACGCTAAAATTCCGTTGATGGAAATTTAGAGTGGCATTCAAAGCTGACATGCGTTCTCTTCTCGAAATAGCCTTCCTGGAATTGCGCGTGCTGCAGCACAAACAAGTTCCATAAGTGCTGTTAGATTGCGCTCCAAGGAACTCACTTTTACTCAGCAGTGATTCTTTCGACATTTTGGTTTGATCTGAGATAGAATCTATATTCAGGTTTTTGAACCCGGCGTCGACCATCAAGATAGCATTTTTGTCCATTAGACTTGAAGTCAACATAGCACCTTTGTTTTTAGATACTTGGCCTGCAGCTGTCGATGATCCTGGTAAGACATTGTTTGGCAAACCAGCGGCTTGCTTTAACAAAGGATCTTCGCTACTAGCAATCACTACCATCCACGAAGGATAACACATGAGTACATCGCCAACCAAAACTTCGACAGCTGGAGGAGCTGAGCCAGTTTCGCTCTGTGGAACTAAATTGTCCTCGGATTCTTCTGGTATTTTTAAAGGGTAGTACCTATTCCACTGTTCGAGTAGATGAGAAATAGCTGAGTCGTCTGCCGTTTTGAACGCTACCCCTGTCAGTGTCGCTTTGAGACAATGAGGAGCCAGCATTATGTTAATTGGATTGGAGCTTCGAGATGCGAGCAATACGTGCTCTGAAGTTATTCTGCGTATTGGAGAGTGTCTTGTAACGTCAACAGAAGCACATACATTGGAATCTCCATGAAGGAAAAAGGAGAAGCAGAACGAGAAATGTTCCCTAAACATTACAAATGCTATTTAATTTTGAATAATTGGATATACTACAAACCCTTTCATTTTAATCGCATACTTATTTGAAAAGATTTCAGTTGGATCGTCGAAGGGCTTGAGGAACCATTTATCAAGTCGAACATAGTTTTGCTTGAGAAGATGCCTATAACATTGTTCAAATGTTAAACAAAAAAGTCCAATATGAAAGGAAGTTTAAAATGATTCATATCATACCTTTCAATTGAGTTATGAAGTGCTTTATAGAAAATCGTTTTATACTCGTATTTGATATTGTCATCGTTCACGGGTTCATGTACGGCTGAAAAATACAACTTTCATGGATTGCCAATCAGAAGCAATATTTTTTAATTTGAACTATACTTACTCAGATCCACGTGGATCTTTTCTCTAAGCCCTTTGGGCTCTTTGTCACCTTTGGGCTCTTTGTCATACCAAAAAACCCAGAGTTCTTTTTCGCATTTCGGTGGGGTTTCATCATTAGTTTTTATGACAGAATATTTCTGCCATGCGCAGAGAAATCCTGCTTCAAGGATGCTTGAATATGTGCTCAACACAGGGTCTTGCTCTGGAATAACTGGTATTAAGGGATGTGCACGGTAACAGCGCCATCTCAGACAATATGTTTCAGCCTAAATTGTGACAACACTACTAAGTCAAAACCCAAATCAATCGATAAATCTCTTGAACAAAGAGTCTTGAATAATACTCACAAGTTTAAAAGTATTTGTGAGGCAGTCTTCAAGAGACACACCATTTGAATGAAGGGAAGCCATGAATTTATACCATTTCGGGTTATTTATATACAAAATACTTCATTTCTACCTAAAACGTTTATGCTGATCAAGAAGCATCAAAAAGAACCAAACTAACTTTAAGTTTGTCTTGCTATGTACTTTGAGAATCCCGCTTCAGAAAGAGACCGAATAACCAGTGACCGTCCTTAATTTATTTTCTAATCTGCCTGCCTGTCCAAAGGCATCGAAGAAATGAAAATTAACCAATTACATCAACTGAATCGATGAGATGGTTGTTGTCGAAAGTTTCAGAGACCAGAATATTAAAAGTAAGAATTAAACCAGCCAAACTTTCATAGAGAAATGTCCACAGAATGATGCAGCTTTGCAAAAAAGATAACGACAAAATTGAAAATATATCTATCTTTAACACTCCAAGTACGTTAAGTGAAGCTTTCTGGAGAACCAAAGTGAAGCTTTCTGGAGAACCTTTTTGCCATCCTTTTAAAGCATTTTGCAATTGTTTTCTCAGTATATTAAAATAATTAGTTTTTATATTTATTGATGAGAACAAGAAACTTGTACTTTTTTTTTTTTTTTATTTTACAAAAGTAATCAGAAGGTCAAAAGTATCATAGTAACCGAGGTTACAGTCATGAGTCCCTTCATCATGTATTCCAGTCAAAATCCTTGGAATTTTCTAGATATGGAAGTGATAATGATAAAAGAAGATGTCAAGTGTTTAAGTCCTTTTCATTTAAAATCGATACGGGTTACGCTTCTTCAATAAGAACACGCAACTCGACACGAAATAATATAATATACAAGTGTTACAAGTAAAAAATTTCGTCGAAAGTTATTTTGTCATTTATTGTTCCGAGTACGCAAGCGGCGTTCGCAATCTGTATTGCCAGGGAGATTCTCTGTTTTAAAAAGCTGCCTGCTCTGGGTTCCTCAGTGCATATGCTTAGGTTCTTACAAAGCTTGCTCAAAAAAACTTCTGTGCTGGGGCCGGCCGCGCCCTGAATTTCAAAAGCTAGCGGTTGAAAAAGATATCCATCATTTACAAGATCTTTATATTTGTCAATTTTTCGCTCTTCCGCTTCAGCGGCAGCCGTACCAGGGTTACAAACAGACCCGGCATTAATCCTACAAGGGGCTAAGGAGTCTACTACCGTTACATCCCACAAGAGCTGCTTACCATCAGCCCATGGAACGAGCGTCAAACCGTCTGGTCGCTTCTGATCGGTCCTGTAGAGGTGTCGTGGTTCTAAAACAGACGGAATGTGAGTAGATGATAGACTCTGCTTTATAAGGGCATTCAGGTTTGAATGCCTAGAGAATCTCCCTGCACTTTTGAGGCAAGAAAGACCATGCCAACCATCCTCGGTAACGTCTTTTCCGCACACGCATTTATGCCGTTCGCATATTTTTGATCCTAATCGAAGTCCTATCGCAATTCTGAGTTGTTGGTTCGACAGTTTTAACCTTAAATTTTTGCAGGGGATGACGTTCAACCATTGGGATCCAAATCTATCTTGGAACGCGTTGAACCTTTTCACGTCCGTTGGTTCGAGTCGTAAAATCAAGTCTGCAATTTCGCTGTCAAAAATTGGCTCCGTCCAATTTTTTTGGATTTCATTTTCCGGAGCCATTTCAATTTTTCCAAGGTCAAACCACCGTTTAAGCGCATCATCATAGGTTCCATCCACATGCTCCAAACCAAAGATTTCGCTCAAGGCATCTTTCGCTCCTACTGCTGAGGCTAAGAAAGCGGGTAAAGCGAGTAGACGAGCGGAAGAAACGCCCAAGCCACCTTTGGCTGCCGGGAGAACTGCTTGTAAAAACTGGTTATCATCCATTTTCACGTTAGTGACCTTGCATAACGAATTTCTTAGTAATTTATCGTAGCGTTCCAAAAAATCATTTTGCAAAAAACAAGGGCTCGTACGCAAAAAAATATAGGAGTTTTGGCATGCTAAAGCAATTTTTCAGGAGGTAAAAACCATAATGCGCGTCTAGTTTGTCAATGACATCCGAGATTTTTTCAAGCTCCCTAATTTTTTCGTCGAGTAATTCTTTTCGGCAAAGTTCGCCGATTGGAGATCCTAAAATGAGGAGTTCTTCTTTTGTTTTTATTTTTATTTTGGGGCATATTTTTCGAAATTGTGTTAAAATTGAATTATACTGTGTACTAGTAGTCGGTCCCAAAAAACAAAGTTCACACTTCTCAGTGTTTAAGCTCAGGCCGTAAATTTGTTCCGATTTCAGAATGTTTTTAAGGTCCCGGAGTACTACCTTATAGTCGTCGGCTAAATTCCCATCATCTAAATACCAGATGTTAATTTTCGACTCCAACTGTTTGACTAGTGTATGAATTGTTTCCGCAAAAAGGGGTGGGGCTTCAGGATCACCTTGCTGAGTTCCGTCTTCTGACATTATGACAGAGCTTCCGTAAAAAAGGTAACTAGGTTTAGCATACGCGCAATGGGTGTAATTATATAATTCGGGGCGATTTGAAAAAACATGATTCAGCATTGTTTCTCTGTTTAAAGAGTTAAAGGCATTCTTAAAATCTAGTTTTAAAAGAACAGTACATTTTGGATTGTCGTCGCGTTCAATTAGGTTTCGAAACGAGTGCGCAGCTATTTCTGCTCCTCGTTTGGTACCGCATCCTACCTGTACGTTTCCGAAAAAATTTTGTCGCTCGGAGAGGGCCTTGCTTCCAGCGCATTTAGACGCGATACGTCTCAGCGTGTTGCCTATGGCAATCGGTCTCAACCCTCCGTCTATTTTTATGAGGGCGATAAGCTTTGCGCCAAAAAAGAAAGGTCTTAGTGGTTCCGGTATTTTGCCATCTCCAATGAGGTTTATCAGCTTAGTAAGCGATTTCAGAAAATTAAGTCCTGCACTGCCATTCGACTTACTAACAAGATCTTTAAAAATTTGAGGAAATATTTTATCAGGACCTGCTGCTGATCCGTTTGGAAAGGACATTATCGCTTTGTATAGGTCGAAATCGGTTACGAAAAAACTATCCAACTTTTCTGGATTTGGAGCTGCAAATTTGGCTCGCTGCGGGTGCTTAGATAACAATTTTTGATAGTTATCAGTTGAAAAAGGAGCTATTTTGTCATCCGAAGCAGCAAGCCTTATTCCTCCCTTTACATTTCCTTCATCGAGCTTACTACTTATTAACTTTATTCTCTGCTCGAGGTCACTCAGAGGCGGGCTTGAAACTTGGGGATGGGGTTTTGGAAGTGACACGTCATTTGCTCGAATTTTTTTATTTATCAAAGAGCTCATGCTTGTGGTCTGTTTGCGTCCACTTCTTTTCGGTTGCTCCAAAAAAAACAAGAACGACGTTAAAAAAATTAGCCATTTTGTAACATCTTCTACATTGTAGACGATGTCATTTATTTTGTCCGACAGATTTTCCGCCAAGGGAACACGCGAGTCTTTTGGTACTCTCTTGAGTACTCGGACATTTGAGATGGTTGTATTAACATAATTGTCTAGCACTAAATCATTACCTATTGTTGCTTTATTAACAGATTTTACATCAACGCATAAAGGACACTGAAACCATTGGGTTTTCTTAGAGTCGCTAAGAGAAATATTTACACAACTGATATGATACCAACTAGAACAACAATCATATTTAATCCAATTTATCAGTCCTGAAGGTTTTAAGCAATCTTTGCTTGTACACTCTTTGTTGTTTTTCCTCATCTTGACGCAGCATAAAGGTAAAAAAAAGGATTTTGACTGGACTTTAGGGGACTGAACTAACCCATGATAAGCGGTTAGTGGGAATTTTACAAATCAGCAAATAAAAAAAAAAAAGACAACTAAATTAAATTAAAAGGTTAAAAGGCAGCATAAAGGTTAAAAATCAAAAACAAGGAACAATCTCACCCGAGCTCAGTAGGCTCAGCGGTGCACCACCAGACTTCTCAAGCCAGTTCCAGTTCCCCACCTCCCCACAGAAAGCCACTTGACAGACCTGTCTCTAAAATCCCTCAGAGGGCGCTCCACATACAGGCACAAACATCAAACATAACAAATCTATTTAATAAGTTTATCACAACAATTAGATAAACTTGTTGTGATAAGCTGTTTATCTAAGGTGGACAGCCGAAGCCACCTCTCGTCCAGTAAGGTGGCTTCGGCTGTCCACCTTCCCTGTCCCGCTTCACTCTCGTCCAGTCAATTGCACTTCTTTTCTTGAACTCTTGATCCTCAATCAAGAACATGACAACTCCACTGGTATCAAATTATTCTGGTAAAATTGCAAACTGCAATTTTACTTTTGTATTTTTTAGCAACTTTCCCACAATTTTACCCCTAATTTTGTGATCTAATTTATTTAATGTTTTCAGTTATCGCGAAAAACACCAAACTCCAACTTGTACTTGAGTCAAAAAGCAAACCGCAATTGGCCTGAAAAACATCAAAAGGATATAATATTTTAAAATGTTAACTCAAACGTTTTCGCACATTTTGTCCATCATCAGGATTGAAATTTTGTATAATATTTACAGTACGATCAAAAATCTGGAAAAAAACAACAAGTCTTATAAGGGCTGTAAAAAATTCTGGCCAATCAAATTTAAATAACTGTAATTACAAAAGAATAACGTAATCATTATTAGCATTTTCCTGTAAATTTCTGGGATTTTTTAAATTTTTTGTTCGTTGTTATAACATTTCCTTATGGGACTATTTACGATTCTGACGTCAGATTTTTGAATTTTAGCTACAGTATATATGGACTAAAAATTAAGCGCTAGTTCCGGGCTCCTGAATTCATCGCGCTTGCAAAGCCTCTAGTGTGAGGAGCTAATAACCGTTGCCTGTTTGGTCTATAATCTCTGACTTCAGCTCATCAGTACCGCCTACAACGATTTGAAAAAATGAACGACATTTATACAAATGTCGTTAACTGGAAACCGTGCTTCATAGTTCTAAGCAACAACAAGACCGGTTTCCGATTCATAGAATTATTGAAGCAGCAGCTGTTGTCATTATTAGACGAAACACCAAACTCCAACTTCGCAATGAAAGCAAAAGATTCTCCCACAT